GGGTTTTTGCAATGACGTCCATGATCAAGTGGTCGTAACTGTAGTACAAAATTTTTGCCCCACGCTATCATTGCTGACTGCTGTATCATGAAAATAAATATTGATAACTTCCAATATCCATAGAACACGCCATCGCGTGCTGATTATGCAGGTTTTTTTAAAATCACACCGACTCTTTTCCGCGATGCTATGGGGAAAGATGATGTCGGCTAAACAAACACGCCGTCATGCATGTGGTTTGACGTCAGAATATATTTAAACAGAGGAAATGAATAAGGAATAAGGCCCGTGATCCTTAATTGTAAAAAGACCAAATTTGCCAAGGTTAAAAAATGTTTTCAGGGATTAGAAACTTTCTCCTTGGAAAGTTTGTTAAAAAAAATAAAAGTTAGATAAACAAGTTAGAGATCTCCTATACATCTAAAAAAGGGGAACTCGATTTTCTCTGATGAGACTAGGAACAAACACATCAATCAAATGAGTGGATGTACTTCAAAACGGTGACGCTAAAAGTATGTAGCCATTATCATCCCACTCTTTCCGAATTTTTTATTATTGTTATCATCATTAGTATTATGGGTTCGAATCCCGCACAGGCCTGGTTTTTTGTCAGGCCTTATTTTCTCTATTTCTTAAGTAATGTTCATTACTGCGTTGACCACGTTCATATTCACCTCTTTATCTGCACTTTACATTTTCGATTTCCATATATTCGCAGTCATTAATATTACTATTATTATTATTTTTACGCTCCCCACCCTTCCTGTTGATGTGGTACGTCTTAATTGTATTGGCCTCTATTCTCTTGGGACGTACAGGCGGTAAAATGTGCGAAGAGGGAACAACAAAATTCTATTTTTACAACTAAACAATCAATCGAACATAGAAAAGAGTGCTGAAATATTAACTTTCCTCCTATTCAAAAGGGAATATAATACATGGGTGCTCGTGGATACGGAACTTCCCAATTCAACTCAATAGCTCACCAGTGAGAGCCGCAAACGACAGATATCGAGTTGAACACAAGAAGAGAAATTCCATATCTACAGGCAACTATATATTACTTTGTTTATTAAATAAACCCCGTTTGCCTGAGAGGCGCGAAAGACGAGTGACGTGTCAGCAGCCGATTGGTGATAGCAAACATACGTAAGAATTAATGTAACTTTACAAGTGTGCAGTTACGGCCCTTCTTCAGGGCTGGAAATCCTTGAAAACGCCGCAATTTAAACAATTGATGAGGTTTGTCTTTACCTTAACCCTTTAATTACTAGAATTGAAATAGCTAACATGTAATTTTTAATTGCAATGCAAATATCTCATCTTGCAGAGATCAGACAAGCTTATCAGCCAGAGCATGGTGTCCAGTGTCTTAATTCCATGGTAATGTAAGACGGCAAGAAGGGAGAATTGCTAACTGAATCTTGGGAGTTAGAGGCTACTAAGAGAATGTGGACCAATGATTCTTCGGGCCGTTAGCATAGGGAACATAGGGAAGTTTGGTAACAGGTTGAATCAAAAAATACACAGGGTAAGGGGGGCCTTTCAAGATGACTGTAATCCTTGACTTACGGAATGTCAAAAAAGTTGGTGAACTGTCAAACATTCCCTCACTGCGCTGCAGTAAGACGTAAAAACAGATCAGCCTGTGTACTCTTCTGAGTAATCTACACATTTTTGAGTATTGTCAAGTTAAGATATAAAAGATACATTTCTCTGAGATTAACAACACCCACTGTGCAAACAGAACCCTATATCTGGAAAAGATAGTAATGGTAAAACCAGGGGCAAGAAAAGGAGCATCTCAAAACGAAAACCAACTTCCATAACCTAGATTATATACTCATCACCATAGCAACATGTACCAACAACCCTATTCTTTCTCCACCCACCCTTCCCCCACACCCTCCTCCCTTACCTGTAAACTCACTTCTATTGTAAAGACACAAGTTGAATTTTTGGTCATATTTACTTCAAGTCTCTGCTGTTTGAAGCTTATTATGCCTAAAGTATATGGTGGTGGCTATTGTATATATTTACCAAAGTAATATCTTTTTAAAAATAAAATCACTAGTGTTATTGTACTGGCTGATATATCGACATACACATTTTTGGACTAGTCAATATTCATGAGAGTCTTTTAAGACTAACTTCTCTGTCATTAAAACCACAACAACACATGTGACACATTTTGTAAGAAAAACAGAATCAAGTAACCAGTTCCACGTTCACATGCATGGCAACAATTTTCAGGTTAATGAGACTTACAATTAAACAACAAGTCATACCTTGGTTAAAAAGGTATCATGAAAACATACAAATAGATATCAAAGTTACCATATAAAGCAAGACCTAACACTATTATTTACCTCGACCTTTATACCCCTGACCTTGATGCACTCTGACGCCATGACACCCATAAATCAACTGAGGGTATTCCACTGTCCTGGAATATAGAACATAGCATAAGTCATGCAAATAAATCAAATCAAGTAATACATCTACAATGCAATTCAACATCAGAATTATCATAACTATTTTTGAGTGCGCCAATCCCTTTAGCAATAACAAAGTGAACATTGGCTGGATTGGGGATACTAAGCTGTTAAGAATATGACAAGGCATAGTACAACCACTCTGGGTTGATTAACAATTTTATGCTCACTGTTTATTCATTTTTTAAACTGAAATTTTTAAAAAATTTGTCCTTTTTCATAAATACTTATATCTACCCGTCGCAGCAATACACCTTTGAAAAATGTGGCCTAAATAGGACGATTTTACTAGTTCTTGTTGAATGAGAGTGATGCAGAAGCCTTCAGAAATTAGCCCTTTCCTTCCAAAGAGTGACAAAAATGCAATTCCTCTGCACAATATCATTAAATTTTCAAGCAAAAAGGTGACAAAATAAGAAAGGAAAATATCACGTAGGAGGTTATGTTTAAATGTTTAGGCATAAACTGTGAAAGAAATGTAAGGTAGGATGTGCAGTGAATTGACATTTATATCTTAGAGTTTAAGTCCACAGTGAGAACCCAACGCCATAGTGTTAGCCATGCTATGTTGATGAAGCCTCATAACTAATAAGGTCGACAAAGCTATCCATGGCTGCTAAACCGAAAGCTTACTTTGTTGGTAGAGACATATTATATTGTCTGTACCATTGTCGTCTAAAGCGAATTCCGTAGCTGGTTGGTGTTTCTATGGTTTAACTTTTTCTGTAGATGAGAAAAATGTAACTAAGATTTATTAAGCATCGTTCAGTGAATTATTTTGTGCTCTTCTCTTTCATGTCGTAAGATTTCGCGGGAAACTGTGAAAGTAAACCTGGGAACAAACCATGAACTCCTGAAGGCAAACTCGCCGAAAAGCACAACAGTTTTTAAGGCTTCACCGGGCTAGTTGTGAAACTTAGATCCTACCCATGTCATAAGCAGGCTGCAAACGAACACTATGAAACGTAACAAAGGCGAAAGATATCGTAGCAAATTTCGAAGTTACCTGCAAAGGGAATCCAGGCCATGATAGTTTGACAAATTCTTACAGCTCCAAGAAAGTCGCCATCTTGTTGCATTAGTAACCGCGCACGAATCATCCCCCTCTCGTGATTGGTATAAAAAAAGGTCAAGTGAGCACAGCTCAAGTTTGCGCGGGAACTTTTTTAATGATTGACTGCAGTTTCCTCCATCACTATCAATAAAAGTAATATTTTACGAGCAACGCGAGAGAAATCAGGTAAATTTATGAACCATAGAAGCAGAAGGCAAGAGCTTATCGTTAGGGACCCGTCATAGTCATGCCAAGAGAAAATAAGGTAACACTATTTTCCCTTAACCATACCTAAGGAGTCGAACCTTTCTTAAAGAGAGATGGTGATAGATATTGATAGAAAGTTTCCAAGAGAAAGTTCGTGCCAAAAGTTTCTTTCTTAACGACACTCTCCACCAGCTTACTCGGAGAATCGATGTACAAGTCCTTGAAAGAAAAAACTTTGTATTTCATTACATTATGCTCTGGCAATTTTATTTATTTATTTATTTATTCGTGTTGTCAATTTTTCAGTTCTTCGTAAAAGAAAATAACCGCATAAAAACATAATCTACCTGAGAAAAATCCAAAATGGTGAAGAGTGACATGAGTTTATATATCTTTCTCAACTTCCCAAGAGCGCTGTGCAGACAAAACACTTCAAATGTTCTGTTGATGTCATTCTCACCTAATGCAGGCCGGAGGGGAAACGGGTCATCTTTCATACTTCGGTGCGACTATCTGCTCCCCGAATTCTGAATACTTTAGTCAGTCATCTTATCCGATAGACTAGAAAGGTTCTAAACCGTCAACCATCAAATGGCTAAAATATTAATCATTAACCGTTTAAAATGGAAGATCTTTGCCGTCAGTCGTCAATAGAGACAGTCAATATAAGCCTTCTCTTAGACATTTATCATTGAGAACCAAAATGGAGTCAACAAATGTTCTACACATTCAATCAGGTGAATTTTTTACAAAATGAACTTATGGAAAGGTCGAAGCAGAAATGTTCAGTCCACCGTGACGTTCTGAACACGTGCAGAGGAATCTGACTGGAAATATTTCGGCTGTATCGTTCATGAGTCTCTTAATTGCTACAGTGATGTGTTACCACTCACCGTCCAACAGACTAATGAAGGCTGAGCGATTCAGCCGAAACATTTCCGGTCAAGAAAATCATTAAGTTCCAGTCAGATTCTTGGACACATTATGTAAAAATCCTTCACGATATACAACTGAAGCAACACTTCAAGCTTGAAAATGTGAAAAAGTTTTCGAATTTCTCCACGGCGTTTTTTCCTTCTAACACAAACTCCTTCAAAAAGGTTTACTAAAGTTTTGATAATTTTATGAAAATTTATTTATTCCAATTTTTGCAAAATTGTGCCTTTTTTAATATTTAAAGAGCAAATAACAACTACTAATATTACATTAACTCCAACAAATTAACTGTAGCCGTCATATGGTCTAAAATTTAACCGTCTGCCGTCAAACGGGCTTCCCACGGAGACCCTCTCAATATGATCCCATTTAGTCCCTCAAGGCTTCACTCTTTATGCTACTATTGAGCCCAATAACCTCTGCACAAGATGAAGTTTTCCCAGTATATCTTAACAAACTACAGGCCTGCTGCTTAATGGCAAAGTTATAGAATCTATCTTTATTTACCACTTCTTAGTTAGCTCACAAACTTTAACAATACTTCAGTTAAATGTTTAACCATATCATTAATACCCAATTTAAAGCAGACAGACTTTAATTGCAAAGAAACTACAAAGCCATTAAATTGTTCTAGAAACTGCTTTTCTTGAAATAAGCGTATTTCAAGGTGACACAACGAAAAGTGAAGAAAAAATGCGTGTGACTTCGTGAAACCTTAGATTAGAAAAATACAAGTATTGGTATGCACGTGCTCTAACTATCCAAACTAATGTATTACCACAATCGAGGTCTTACATGCACCAAGCATTTCAGCGTTTATAAATAAGAAATATATTTTACTATTTTAAATATATTTTCAATTCCTCGTTATTACAAAAAAGCACACATTCTTATAATAAGTTACATCAACCTCAAAACGATGGATAGCCGTATTGCTGAGGTATAATGAATACTATGTACAACATTTGAAGATGGAGGACTCGATTTTCGAGTTGTAATTATGATTCTATATGAATGTCTTGCTGATTTTATGACCTTATAGGCCAATAACCAATTATATACGTCGATGTGTAAAAAAATAATTAGTGATGTTGTCGATCAACTTTACTTTGGGTCGCAAAGTAATTTCTTTACAAGTCAATGTTTTACGCAGATTAGTGGTGTATTTCTACTTGGATTGACTTTTACTAAGTTAGCCACAGTCGTTGGTCCTCATAAAAAGCCTCATCGAGTGACATGTTAAATTGATTTCTTGAAACTCGATTTCTTGGAAGGCCAATACACAATTCTTAGTCCATATATTTGTTGTAGAAATGCTTGAGCTAAGCGCTAAAACCTAATTGGATTCTTTACTGTAAATTAGAGGAGAGTAACTTTGTTTTATTTTATCTATACTTATTGTCGGCACATAGAATAGTTAAAAATGGACCTATATTGCAGGTAAATTGGCGGATTATAAGTTAAACAGTCTTGTTTCCATCAGCTAGTGATTGTGCGGTGCTGTGTTGCTTTGCCTTGTATCTCAGATTTTCTATGCTCGTTCTTCGAAATTCCTGCGTTTCCGAGGGGTTCTTTAGAAATGGTGTCATTCCCGGTCTGACGTACTGTCTGTACAAATGGTGTGTATACATCGCTGCTGGTGAGAGTCCGGGAACGTTAAGATGGGCTCCTAGAGGACCATATGGACTTGGTGCAGTGGCGAAAGGAGACAAAAGGCTTAGGGCTGGGACATGCGGGTGCCATCTGTCCACTCCTGGAGTGAACGGATGTGCACCAGGGTGCACGTGCGGAACATCTTGAAGGGCCCTGTAGTCATTCGATGGCCCGTAAAGGTATGTAGGGCTTTCGCGTCCCATGGACTTTTCCCGTTTTCTCCATTTAGCTCTTCTGTTTTGAAACCATACCTGGAAGGGGCACGATGGAAGAGAAAGAGCAAGTTAGTGATTAATTAATAAAACGAAGAAATAAATGAAGGAAATGAAGGTAAAGATGATTGATCTCATTTAAGACGACTGCGAGGAAAGTTGAGGAAAACAAACGGTGAAATGATTTATAAAGGAAATTAATTATAATTTGTCAAAAACAAGCAAAAAAACCCATTATCTCTTGCACTTTTTTTCATCCTTCTCCATTATTCGCTAAAGATACAATCGATCTTTCCATGAACGCAGCTTTTGCTGCAGAGAAAATTCTAGCTAAGAATTGAAATGAGAAATAATTGTTTCAGACATGTCGCCAGCGCAGAGAAGTTGTTTAGAGAAGCAACGCAAGGCCACGAGTTTTAAGTCACAACGTGTGTCTCTTTGCCTAGTGGTCGGTAATTATCAGCAATCATTCTTGACTGGTACCACAATGCCATCCATAAACGCTATTAATACCGCTTCCAACAACAATCACTTTAATAGTTGTCCTCTCTTGGCTAGTCTGCAGCTGTCGTAAACAATAAACGCCCAACACTTATTGTTAAGGAAACGCTATTTCAACACTCAGACTAGTGTTTAGCGTACGAACTCCATACATTAGACGTTAAAGGATTGTCAATGTGAAATATCCTTGATAAGCTGCCTTTTAAAATTTCAAACCTCAAGACTCACTGTGTGATCTCAGTTGCCGAATGCATTTCTCTCTGCCAGTCTCTTTCTTAACGACATGGCGTCGGTGTTTTTCCTTTTCGATAATGAGGTTTATCGAACATTGGATTGTGTCTTTTGTTCAGTCTTTGCGCATCACTATTTAAATAAACTGAATTTTCTACACGATTGTAGTAAAGGACAGTTAAGGTACCGGCAGTTCTAGAAATGTACGCGTATCATTCTTCGCGATCGGACAAAAAAAACTAAACGAAAACCGCGTGGCAGGAAGAAGAACACCATGCTTTGGGCACGTGTCGAAGTGTTGAAGCCACATGTATTAAGGAAAACTTGCGACATAATACATTAACTGATAGTAATTAGCGAACAGCTTTCCTTTTCTTCTCTCTTTTCAAAGAAAAATACGGTTTTATCATGATTTGCTGAAAATTAGTAAACTATAATTATTTTTCCAAACACATATACGATAGAAATGTATCTGAACTAGGAATCCTATAAAGCCATGTAGTGTAAGGTTGCTCTCAGAGAATTGAAATCAAAACCATGAAATGTTAAACACACCGGAGAGATTGTGTCGAAACGGACAAAATGTGCTAAAAGGTTTTAGCAGGAAAATTTCGCTTTAAAACTTCAGCGACATTTTTAGTCCATTATACCATGCTTTTCAATACAATCACGTTTAATAGATAATATTAATGGTGTTGGTATCAATTGGAAGCGATAAAGGTCTATGAGAAATAGATTTCGGATGTATTAAAGGCTTAATATAATCCTTAATTTGTTTAATATATTTATCTTTACAGAAGCATTGTTATAGCATAAGAAACGATTGGGAGAAACTGTCTTCTTCGCACTGACTTATTTCGATTGTAATGGCCCCATTAGAAAACAAAGACTAATTTACAAATGCATTAAACGTATAAACAGGAAACAGAGCCATTTCAGAACCAGTAAATTTTCTTCACTGTCACTTTATCATTTTAAATCTCGACATAGATAAGATTAGAAGTATGAGACGGCCATATTACCATTCTTTAAAGATTTTAGTGATTCCTTACCTAATTGACAGTTTTGCCTAGCAATGTCCTTACTGGAAATCAAAGCTTTTAGTATCCTTGTGAAGTTTGTTTAATACAGCACAAACTTCACAAAAAATTGCGGCCAAAGTGGCTCTAGTAACAATGTGTATCTAGCAAGCAAGAAAGCGAATTTGCGGCCTTTTCTTCACTGGATCTTTTAACGACAGCCCGGGAAAACGATCTTTCACGACCAAAAAGGCACTAGTTATTCGGCTAACTTAGAACAGGCTCATAGGAAGGAGGCTAGTTTCTTCTTTTAAACCTGTTTCCGTCCATTTCTCATTATCTTGTGATAGGAAAATCCATATGTGAATCATAGAAATGTATTTTTTATGCAAACCCAGGAAAAGAAAAAAAGTTTTATCGCGTGTATAACACAATTTAAAGATACATAGCATTCAGATAATATATGGGCTTATGTGAAAAGAAGCTGTTGGTTGAAGATTTTTATCTAATAACCTATATTTTCATATCATAAAGAAATATTGCGAAAAATGCAATAGACGCCATGGGTTTACGAAAGCACTAACGAGACAGACAGACACAATTGGAACTAAAATGTGCCGCCGAAGGATGTAATACACGCAGTTTTAAGATCAAGAAAGTTGGATGCAAAGTTACACATCTTCTCCGATGAAATACGGAAAAAATCAGATTTTCTGTTGATTAACTGAGTAATTAAAATTCTTTCAACTGTTTATTAGGTGCGTTATCTATCGCATTCACCAGAGGCCTTTTAGCTTGAGCTGAAATCAATATTTGGGATTTCATTAACAACATCCTTTGAGATAAAAAGTCTTTATTCTAATTCCCTGTCGAAACGAGGAGTGGTTTGTCAAGATTAGAGATTTGATTTCGCAACTTACTTTTTACTTTATCAGAATCATTACAAAAAGCCCAAGCTATAGACATATTAAGGTGTTTTTATTTATATTATGCAATTTTAGGTCTACCAAACTATCAATTTAAACCCACAGATGTTGGACTTTGTCTGTGTAATTTTGCCTTCCGGCTAAGTGATTGAGAGCATTCTCTTCTGAATACAAATTAACTTGATGTAGCACGCAAGCAGTTATGAAGTAACTCTTTCAGAGACTTTGATCACTGTACCTTGTTTTGTAAATTAAAAACTCAAACAAGACCTGTCGCAGAAAATGTAAGCCAAATAGTCTTAAGTGACCGAACAAGAAACTTTACGATTCTGGCATACCCAGGAGCGTTCAAAAAAGGTTGGTTTCATAACAACATTGTTTATAGCACATTTACAAGCGTGTGTGTAATGAAAACAGAACGAGTGTATACAATAATACTCTTATTAGCTCAAAACTAGGTGGCAATAATTTTTCTTCCAAATCCGCGTTAACTTTATTACTTTTCAGAGGAACAGTAGTTTCAACAAGAATTACGGTTTAATTTATATGAGTACACAAGTAAGCGGCGATGTTTTTCAAGTTTATCCTATTGTTTATCACATCAAATTAGTCCAGTAATCCTTGGCACTTCACCGTCATCAAGTACTTTCTAGAGGAAACATATTTTGTGCATATTCAAAAGGAAATAGCAAAAAGATGTCAGAAATGTTTCTCTGACTTCAGTGAACCTCAACGACAACTCAATAGGAGAGAAATGCCTAGAGTAATGACGACTGTAAACAGGTTTCTTGTAACTGTACGACGCTAATATTTCAGAGAACAAATGAAGTGAAACCTTCAAGCTTTTTTTTGCTGAGCAATTCTAACTTGATTTCGTTTGACGTAATTACAATGACACAGGACTTAGTCAGGTTTTGAAAGCAAGAGGTTCTTCATAATTAAGTCATTCAGTTTCCTACCACCAAACCCCTGGGGCAATAGTTATTTTTATGACTGCGTCGTGCCATTGAAATCATTATAAAGGTAGCCTGGCTTGTTCAAAAGGTCCTACGCTAATTGCCAATTCTAGTATCTACGTCATGATTAATTATCCACTTTGTTTTCATGGCTGTTCAATATAACCCATTAATACGACAAAATAATTGCCTCAATTGTACTGTCTTTGTATACATATTCACTTAAAATGCAATTTACAGTGGTTAATAGCTTTTCGTCAGAACTAAATAAATTCAGAGCGATACCAAGAAAAGAACGCTTTGCCCCAAACACTATCATTGCAATCGAATAAAAACTTTTTTGTTTCAATCTATTAATTACCCTTCAGACATCTTTTCAACCGCGCAGGTTAAACTGTCATTTGCTAGAGCAGAAAAAAGCTTTGGTATACACTTTTACACGCCGACAACTGGATGCAAATTTCAATATCTCTGAAATTTCACAAAACCTTCCGAAATTTAATTACATGGCATAAAAATTGTCACAACACGAGCTTAACGTCTGTTGTCTTGTGCTTTTAGAGACAGCCGCGTTTCGAACCAAATTGCATCATTATTAGGCCCATTTCATTTGCTTCGCTTTCAAAACGTGAACGAGTTACTTTTCAACTAAATTTCAATTTCAAGCGAAATTTCGTTTAGAAGCCCTCGCAGATTAACATGTTCCACTCTACGGTCTCCGGGCGTAACCGAGTCGTTAGGCCGTAACGTACGTAACGTACACTGTTTCGTCATGGCCAGTATTTTCGTCATAACACGTTATTCAGACGGTAATTTTTCCCCTCTTAGGACAGCAACTCCAATTGCTGTAATCAAAATAGCTGTTTTATAAGAATCACTTGCGCCAGCTAGCTGTTCGGCCGTGAATTCTCCAAGCGTTCAAATTCAAAGCCATTTTTTTTCAGTGTCGTTTCGCACACGCTCTCCAGTGAAAGTTATCAGAGCTAGAAATGTTAAATACAATTTTAAATTTGTCGTAAATACTAGGTTGTAACTCATTGATTTAATGAGTAAGGCGACTGGAGCTGTTATTTCATCAGCTTGATTTTCACCCACGTAATTGATGAAACAAAAGCTTCATACTGTATCACAACTACTCAATCGCAAAAGTTTAAATATTGTTGCATTCTCAAAAAAGATGACTCGGGCGCCACGCAACCAGATCAGGACGAGCCACTTAAAAAACACCCTTCTATAAAAACCAGTTTAATTTTTTTTCCTATTTGCTTCTTGATAATAAGCAAGAACTTTAAAATGATCTGCAATGAATTGAATACGGGGTAAAATGCACAGTCATACAACACAAAAGTCACAAGTTGATTTTATCACGTTTACATCAAAAGTCCGAGTTTAAACATAGAGAATTCGCGCCGCCTTTCACCGCCTCTCGCAGCGACTGCTGCCAAAATGCCGATTAGTAACACAGATTACTTCGCGGCTGCTTCGCCCCAAATAGTCCTGCCATTTTTTGTGCCTAGAACTGACTATGAATAATTGAAAAACCTTACTCACTTGTACTCGTGCCTCACTCAAGTCTAGCCTCAAGGCTAACTCTTCCCTTGTAAAAACGTCAGGATATTGTGTTTTCTCAAAAGCGCGCTCGAGTTGGTGAAGTTGGTAGGTCGTGAAGGTGGTGCGACTCCGACGCATTTTTCTCGGCTTGCCATCATTTTCGTCAAGGTCGTCCTCGTCCTTGAATCCTTTCTCGTCGCCCACGCTCAAGTCATCTAACAAATGAGAAAATTAAGTGGATAAATAAAAGCACAGCAAGCCGGTTAACTGCATTTAAACACTTCAAGCATTGCCTTCGCTTCTGCCGCCTGTAAATTTGCAAATCACGGCAGTCGCACTGAACATCAAAAGGCGCACTGTGCAAACACACAGTTCCGAAAGTTAGTCATGGTTCGAGCTCGCAAAAATCTACGCTTGTGGTTAGAATTGAAAGCGAAGTAAACATTTCCTCGTTGTTTGACAATTCAAGGATGGGGAAATTGAAATTTAAACACGAAATTAGCACCTCATCTGAAACTTTCCGCTATGTTTGCAGAGCGTTCAGCGAAAAGAGAAGACGAGTGCATTGAAATTCCTTGAGTAAACTGTCTCAAGTGTGTCATAAGATTGTAATATCAACTTGAAAGCGAACGTGGTGATGGTTTATTTAATTTACCTTCGTCGTCGCTAGAATTTCTTGACAGTTTGCTATCTTGTTCGAACGCTTCCTCCTGTTTGGGTTTTGGTCTTCGATCGTTTGTTCCAAGAATCATATCGATCGTGTAACCTTTACTTGAAGCTTGAATAAGGGCCGATTCTATCGAATGCTCTGATCCATTTTGCGTTTCTTTTTCCTTCTTCTCCGTGAAGACCATGCTCGGTCGCGCGGCCGAATCCATTATCAGTCCACCGTCCACTCTGTAAACCAACCAGGAGTGTTTGTCCTCGCCAAGGAGTAGCTTCGTCCTTAACAATTTTTATTTGAAAAGAAAAGTTAGATTAATGCAGATTTTATATTTGCCCCTAATCTTCGTCCTTTGTTAGTTAATCAAAATGACCGACTGTCATAGTTTTAATCAATGTTTATTTGTTCAAACAAAGGCCTTAAAATAAATAGGCCATTTTCAGCAGCCAATCAGCGGGCTGCGTTATGATTAAGGCGATATTAACAATATAATACTTAAGTTTGTTTGTTCCTTTGGCCCCCATGGCCTCTTCTTAACACTATTCCACCCAGGAAGTTGATAAAATGTATTTGTGTCATCGTCTTGTTGTCTTAATTCTCCCTATTACATGTTAATAGGTTCTGAGTGGTGAAGGTAAAATTGACGCCAAGATGTCGAAGTTGCGCGTCTCCGGAATTCGAATACCGTGGAGTTTTTGACGAAATTTCGCACTTCAAAAGCTCAACAGCAACGTTTTTGACCGCTGTGTGGTGATTAAAGAGACTCTATAATACAATTAACGCTCAATAAAGATTATTAAAATGTCTCTGTAGCCATGGATATTTTAACACCTCGTTCGTTGTTTCACTAAAGCAATAGGTTTAATAAATTAATTAAATTTCGGTCGAAGCCAATTTGGTTCAAAAAGACGTGATCGGATATTACGCAATACTCCTCGACTGCAATGCGGAATTCATTGAGAATAGCGAATTTTTTAAGTCTTTACTTCTTTAAAAAGATAAACTCGGCGATTATTCAGCGAGGTAGGTTTTTCACAGCACGCTGCTACTCAACCTAGGCCAAGCTGAGACGTTCATTATACTCACAAAATGTTTATCATACTTTTTAATTTCAAGCTGATAAAGCACAAAAGGCTTATTCTTCGCAGCAGAGCACGATTTCTGAACCATTTTTCTCCCTTTGTCCTGAAAGGTGTGCAAAAACGCTAATGTATTCGTAACTTTCTAATTAAAGAACAATCCGTTGTGTCGGCCTAACAATTGCCTTGCAAATTAAATGAATACGGATAAAGAAGTCCGCTGGAATATTTCAAAGATAACTAATTAATTATAGCCCTGGGCAAGGAAGTTGTTTATCTTTGTCGAAACCAAAGCGCGTTCTTACTCAGTATTCGTAAGTTAATGGCCTATTTATAAAACTATTAAGACTTAGTTCCTATTGCGTCATGTTTGGCGACTCTTGAAATCCACAACGCCACTGGCTTCACAAACATTCATTTATCTTTAGTTTATAACCAACCACAGGGCTTTAGAACACAAGAGACCCTTTATGTGGCTGGCTTTTAGAGGTTTTGTTTATTGTATCTTTTCAATGCCTTTTTACGTTTGAAAAGGAGAATATTGGATCTATACTTAACGCGGATTACATTGGTTGAACATAGCCTGCAGCCAACTTGAATAACACAAAAGGAACAATCCATAATGGCGCCGCAATTTTCTCGACCTTATGATCTATCTTCCGTTGGTTTCGGCGTGTTTCCTGAGTGGGTAGCAAAATACGCAAACTTGATTAAGAATGAAAGGGAAGGTTCAGGAATTCTCGGTGTCGCAAAATTAAAAATCAGCTCACGTATGAAATTTAACACGTCGTAAGAGTGTTTTCCTATTTTACCCGTCTATTTTTTGTACAGCCCTTAAAAATTGGTGTCGTGTCATGAAACAAAACATCCCGGTCACTTAACTCACCACTTGATGTTTGGCCTTCAGTTCATGGTGGAGGATAAACTAAGTGGACAAAGAGAGATAAATAAATGACCAGAGACAAGCATCAATACAAAACAAGGCGTTAATGTATGGATGCTTGTAATAACCGGTTAACAATATTGTATTTTGGCCAAAGGTTATCGTTACTCTGAGAACTTGGAATTCAACATAATTGTCAGACCTTTCGCCTATTTTTCGGGAAACGACTTAGAAACTGGGTCGAAAATATGTCCTCTTTTTTGCTCAATAAGTAAAAGGGTGAGTCAAGTCAGAGAGGAATTGTCGTGATTTCTTCAAAATTCGAACACAAAAGAAATAATTTTAAACAATCAGAATACAGGAACTATGTGAAAAACCTATAGAAAAGGTGGTTTTCTCGTCATAGTATCGTAACTCTTAGGAAGCACGTATTTGATTTCAAGAGGTTAAATTAAACGTTTTGTCATTTTACACAAAACAAGTAATATCACATAAGCTCGTTAGACCTGCATATTGGAAGGAAAACAAACTAGTCACAACACCTGACCATTACGACCACACGAGATCTCTTCGGCTTTAAGTTAAAATAGGTCCCTGCTAGTTCTTAAATTGTCCAAAAAATTATGAATAAATATGCTTGTATCGTTACTTTTCAAAAGTTATCGCTTTTAAAATATCATTTCTGCAAATATTTCAAATGGAAGAAAAATTACTTATCCACCATACCCAATTGGTGTTCGCGAATTTGATTGTGTTATTCAACTTTACTGTACGGCGCTCTTAGAATAAGCCCTGGATGGGATGGAAAGCGGAACACCTAATTAAAAATTTATCTACATAGGAAGCTTTCGAAAACTTTAAACAAAAAAGCACACAGCGATCAATTCTTTCACCTAAAACAACTACATGGCCTGATTCGCCAGCGAGATCTTTGAATTTCAATTGATTGAGAGGGTATCGAGCACAAATTCGGAACGTCCCTTCTCTCTGCTCTGTGTTTTTAATAACTGTTAAGTTTGGCAGCTTTCTTTTATTGGGTCTTAAAAAACGTTTAACGCTTGACAAGGAGTAATAGCAGCGAGTAATAGCAGCGGGTAAAAAAACAAAGCAAAAGTAAGAGTATCGTGTTCAGAATGTTTGAATGCCATCAGAGTGGTATAATTTTTTTCTACAAAAGAGGGAATTCATGTCGCAAAGTGCTCCCTTGTTTTTCTGCGCAAGAAGCCCCTCAGGAGGAGGAAATCTTGCAGTAAAATCACCTGTTTTGTAGACATAAGAAACTGAAAGTACGAGCACTCGTGTCGTATAGTTTTGTTTTCCAATTTCCTCGTTTCTAGGTCTTTCGGTTTACTTTATTAAGGTTTTCTAAATAACCTAAAAAGCAGCCTCGTGTTGCAAATTTTTGAGAGTCAAATTTCTGTTTTTCTCTCTTCAGTCTAAATTTAAGGGAAAAAAATAACGCCTCTATCCCTTTGCCACCTTATCATTTGTTCCAAGGACATAACCCTTCGTGTGTCTTTCTTACGAAAACGTCAAACTTAAAGTTGTGAAAGTCATCGTTTGCAGCGTTCATTAATATTCTTAATCCTTACCTTTTTGTACGTCTTTGTTTGTTTTTTTACTGGAAAAAATTATCACGTAACCTCAAAGTTATTAAGGAAAATTATCTTTGACTTGAAAATGGCTCAAGATCTAATGAAGCAAGTTTTCATGCTTATCGCAAAGGTTTAAGCTTAGACGAAAGGAACTGTAAATTATACTGATATGTGTTAACCTTCACGGCCCCAATTTTGAATCAGAGCTTATAAAAAATCATTTGATATGCCACCTGTTGTCTGTCTCAGTGAAGATACCTGAGGTTCTTGCAGCAAGAGTGTGGTCAACGGTGGAATTTTAAGAGCAATTTTTATTAGTTTGAACAATTTAAAAGATCATTATAAATTGAAAAGCAGAAAACCGCAAATATTTCAATATCTTTAGAAGATGAATGGACTGTTCTCTAACGGTAGAAAAGAGCTCGTGATTTAAAAGGCCAGTTTTTGAAACACCGTCGGGGAATATGAACCCTTAAAATAAGTATTTTATCTTAAAAAGGAATGCACAGAATGGGCAATTGAACAATTCAGACGTAACGTTATGGTAACATTTTCAAGTAAGGGAACAAACGTAATCAACCGCAAGTGTCCGCCTTTTCAGCATGCGGAACGAGTTCTATAGATTTGCTGGATTAATGAGGGGCTTGTTTTGAGGATGGAACCTGAAGATGTCAGGCACTCATTTTGATTTGCTGAAACTACACTACAGTATTTTAAAGTTTGATTGATTTACGAACGCGTGCTAATGGCTTCCCCTGCCGAGTCATGATTACAAGAGTTCACTGGTGTGCGAATGACGTGTATATAAAACGATTAATGTTGTAGCATGACGCAAATAAGCTGTCAATCGCAAATAGAACGAACTAATTTATAGCTTGTTTGATGGTGACTCATGTAATACTGTACAATAATTAAGCACTGACTAGGCGAAGAATTAATTGCTGGCAAATTACCAGCGTCTATATTTGAAAAATTTTCGACCTTCCGCTGCTTAAATCTTGGAAAGATGGAACTGTCTATTGACATTTTTTGACAAATCTAGTTAACGCCATAATCAGATGAGGTTTTGTTGTTAGTCCACAACATTGTCAAAAAGCTCAACTTGTTGATGATAGATATTGATCTTCTCACTTGGAGTCCGGGGTTCCGCAAGCACCTCAAATAGCTGAATGAAGCATGATATTTTCTGTGTGGTTTTGAATTGGAAATTGTAGTGAACCATTTTAATTAAGTTCTTTTGATCCACGCGCGTAGATGTGATGAGTCACGAAAGTTTCGAAACTTTTTTGTATTGATGTTTTAAGTCTAAAGTGATGTCCTTTATTACGTAACGAGAAAACTGACGTAAAGAACAAAGGATTTATTCTGGTTGTCAGAAGAAAATTCCTGTGGGGTTCCGATTATCATGGCATGCAAGTAACCTCCTTGGAAGAAACATGCAAGAAAGAGAGACAATATCTAAATTTTCGTGATTCGAAATCCTCTAATATCAGAGTATCTGTTTAAAAAACATACAGATGGAAAAAAAATTTAGAGTCACGTGGAACATCAAGCTTTATCTTCCCACGAACACAAAATGAAATTTTTGACAAAACATTTCACAGACGGAAATAATTCGACACGGAAATTCCGCTCTGCAATATTTGGTTTACACCTTAAGGCTTCATGTCGTCCGCTTGAAAGAAACCTCGTGACTGTCGGAAGAATTTGTAACCACAGACATAACACAAACTTATAACAATATCCATTTTTATCGATTAATTTTTCACAGTTTTTGAAATTACTGTCAAAGGCGAAATCTTAACCCTAAGCTTTCTCAGGTAGGTAAGATTCAAAGAGGCTAGGATGAAGATGGCGGATTGTGGAAAACAAAAAAAAAGCACTCTGAAAGTTCAATTTATTTTGGCCAAATTTCATCAGTTTCACAAACAGCTCCTTTTTAATATTGCCCTGTGCTTTTCGATGGCATTTCGTCCCTAATAAACTGACACCAAATATTTGAGCGACTGCATGTTTTTAGGAAACTAATTAAGGTGGCTCTCCATATAATGACGCTCTAGGCACCCCCGTTTAAGAACCATTGCAATGACTACGGAAATTCATATCGTCAAGTTTATTCTCGTAAGGGCGAATTTTCACGTAACATGCCGAAAAAGCTATTATTTTTAAAGTCCATCAGAAAATTCCTTATTTGGTAAAATATCTACTCCATTATGAAAAGAAAATGATTTACTCTGATATGCCGTCGTGAGTAGTCTCTGATGAAGCATCAGTACAATTACGGAATGTTGGGTGGGGGTCAGATTTGTCGAACAAATGATAAAGAGGATCTAGTCTTCACTTTTTTTTTTTTTTGCGTGAAAACTCGCCGCTGAGGATGGTCACATGTCAAAAGAAAAATTAAACAAGTTAAATCTGAAAAGCTAACGTTAATCCGCAATTTTTCCATCAGTAAGCCAGAAACGTATTAGGTTTATATCCAATGATAACGTTACCAAGTAAAAGGTTAAGTGAGAGGAGCAACCCGATAGGTGCTGAACAGTTTGTGTATTGTCTTGCAGTTTTCTGGAAAACAACAACGAAAAAAGCCAAACCGTGACTTGTCTGGAAACAAATCTACCTTGAAGGCGAACTAGTTTTATCACGGACCTGTTTAAAGGAGGAAAACTCCTTCTCTCATTCATCGGTGGATAGTTATAACATCAAAAGGCGAACTAAATGCATCTACTTAATATTGAATCTTTGAGCTAAAAATAATGAGGATTACATAATCTTCATTGCATCTCGGTTAATTGGCGTTCATCACTGCTTTCCAGTTGGTGTTTGAGCCTCACACTCCTACTAAGGTACTTGTGCTGTGGTTTTAATTACAAGACATTCAACAGACACAGCAATTTTTTATACAGTGAAATGGATGTTCAAGAGCATTTTCTTTCCAACCCTTTGCCGACCACATGTTTCCGAAGTGAAACTCCTCCTCGTGATCAACAGGGTAGTCAGGAGACAACATTCCATGCATCATGAAATACATATAATTCCTCAGCACCTTTACGAACATGCGTACAGATGGGAGAATGATTCTTTTCATGATTTATCCGCTTTGTAAAGTTTCTTCGCTGATCATTGATAAGATTTTGCCCGCAAAGAAAATTTCGAGGAAAACTTTTTATATACAGCTTTCTAGCGTTGTTTTGACAAACAACTCTACTCGTTATGACAAAATGAAAATACACATTTTTAAGAACCTCTTATGCAATATTTGGATTTCCTGTTGTTTTCATCATCTATTGGTCTTAGCAGACACTCGTCGTGGGTTTTAATCAGAGCAACAACAACAACAAATGTTTATGAAATTTGCTTCTTTAAATGTGTACTCTATGTATATGGTTGTTATTATTTCAGCTGTGTTTTCTTACGAGTCAATATCCAATTATAGAGAAATTCTTCTGTTCTCCTCAGTTAACCTTGCTCCCCTTAATTCCTCTGAACTCTGGATCAGTTTGCAAAAAAAATATGTTGTACTCAGATTATTTCAGAGTCACTTTGAAATAGTCACACCCAAAATTTAAACTAACCCCTCAAATCTCCCGCTGAACTTAATTTCGGTAAGGAAAACATCAGAGGAAATTGCAATTTTCGAAACGCGATGTGCGCATCAAGATTAGACTCCTGGCCAATTGTTTGGTCCCGTAGACTTGTTTACGTTGGCTGCATGTATTACATGTAATACGCACAGCGCGGATTACTACTGATTAAAGTTGAATTCTCATCTTCGATTAAGTTACGAACAATGTTAGGAAGTCTGATCACGATTACTTTTTACTCAGACGCAAGCTATAAGCTGTCCATACACTGTCTTCACTTTTATTTACCCATGTTAAGGGAAAAACATGTGCGTATTATAACGTTAAAAGACTTCACTATGAAGACACCTTTGGGTGGCCTCCTGTGTTTTCAACAAAAGTCATATGGATTCCTCTTGGGCAGACCATGAAAAACATTTTCAGCGACAGCGTGTTGTCTGAATCTATTATCACTAATGCACACAACAACAAAGATTGAAAAGCTATTGAAAGTAAAACTGGATTGTATTGGTTTTGCTTAACTACGATTTCTGATTGGTCTAGAAATATCATCCTCCCTCGCAACCAATCAGATGCAAATTTAGAACGCCGGATCTCGATTTTTCCGCGCCCCAGCCAATTCAAATACGTTTATGTCGAGTTCTTGTTGGTTATATTTATGTTATTTTCCTCTTTTCTAGATCGCCGTTTTGATTACATTGATTCTGACTTACGACCCTCAGGCAAAATTCGCTCTAATACCTAGTACATATAATTGTGTACCTAGAAGTGAACCATAGTTACAAAACATAGCTCATAACAGACTGAATATGATTCAAGTATAACTCGTCTATAGAGGTTGAGAGACCTACAGTGTCTTTCTTTAAAATAGATTGTTTATACATCCTGCGGAGAGCAGCCACGTTTTAGTGGAAGCACCCCCGGAATCATGGGATCTGTAGCCTCTTTGCCATCAGGTTTGATCTCTGAGCCACTTCGCTGAATTATGAGATGTGCTTTCCACTGGATCAAAGTTATCGTTCCATTTTTCAACATCTTGCTGTCTTAGAGGAGCTACTCCAAAGTTTGGTTCTTCCTTCCTTCCTGAAACATCTGGTAAGACGCACGATAGTCTTCTTTGAACAGGTATCGAGCCTTCTACGACCCCGATTTCTACTGAGCTATCCAATTTTACTCTTTGACGCAGAGATGGAAATTTGAGGTTTTCGATAAATCTGCCGCGGTTTTTCAATGCCTCTATTGAATGGCCGATTCTTGAAGCACCAGGTAAACAAATAGTCGCTGATCGTTGTCTGAAAACATGTTTACCACACTGGGCAGTTTGGAAGATCTCTTCAGAGTAACACTCTGACGGCAATCTGTTAAACTTCGGTTGGATACTTGCTCCCGAGGCTTGCCACAACGCCCGTGACTTTGAGGGTGGGAGCCTTTTAGACCGTTTTTCATCTCTTATTTTGGGCAGAGAATATTTGGAACTCATCCTTTTTGCACCAAAACAGTAGTTGCTGAAACAGGAAGCGCAGACTGTCGACAAAAATCTGAAATTTAGATGAAGTAGTTATAGGTCAAACAGGCATTGAACCGTCAACTTCCGCGAGTTTTGGTTATTGAAATCACGTCCAATTAGTTTCTCTGGCTACAATCAAAGCATAATTTTTCTCTAAAAATAGGAAGTACAAACTGCTCATTTGGAGTTATTTAAAAGAAAATCGATTGGGTATCTTCTAAGTGAACATTTCTTTAATTTGTGGTATTTGAAAACCTTCAGCAATAATGCATTTGAGATTCTTTCTTGATTGGAAAAATACTTATGTACACATATGTATGGCCAAACGTGATTAATTCATTCCAAGTGTAATTGCTTCTTCAATGGATCAATGTCAAGAATTTTGAATCTTCAGTTCAACGTACAACAAAGAAAGCAAATTTACTTTCTTTAAACAATCAAATACATATTCATAACAATCCCTACCAGCAAAATAGCGGAGCTAATCGAGGCGGGAGGGAACTGAAAAGAGAGTGCATGCATATACAAACAATGAAAACAGTGCGTTAAGTTATAGATAAGCCCATTAGCTGAACTGTTGTTGTTCAGCACTGAAGTTTGGAGGCTGATCAAATTGATATTCTTAGATCTTTTTATCAAAATTTTCTTGGAGAACAATGATACTGCTTGCGGAACCTAGAAGTTTCCTAAGTGAAACGAGGCCTTAGCGCATTTTAGGAATTCAACTGCATGATACCCTTAAAATGAGTTTATCTTTCCTTGTAATTAATTAATAAGGCAAAATGTACAATGTGTATCGATTGTGAAATCTTATTGAAAAAAGTGAAAAAAAACTATAATAAAAAGGAATTTCAACAGCAACTTAAACCAATAGCCTATATTCACACCAGCAAAACATGTTTTGTTAAACTGATTTTCACTGAATGAAACTCGTAGAGAGAGAACTGGAAAAACTTAATTTCCATAGGAATTAACTAATTGCTAACTAGCATTTCCAATTTGCTATAATTTAAGTAGAAAAACATTAGGTTAAGTTGTTTCTACGAAGAAAAAAAAAATTAAACTGTGTTCAACAAAACAACTTTTAAACATTTTTAAGTTTTGGTGTGAATGGGGTCAAGACGCCACAATCAGAGCCGATAGAGATAAAATAGAAATCAAAACCAACCTGATGTGTACAAGGGCGAGCAACCAAACTCAAGTCGTGATTGGCTTTATGTTTACAGCTCATTTCGACTGAGTGTCGTAAAGCAAAACCATTATAATCACAACACCCAAACAGAAGAAGAAACATATCAAAAGATCCCAACGATAAGCCAAAATAAAAGCAAGTAACGGCTTGAAGCGCGGGAAAACGCCGGCGATTAAATCGCAATTGGTTTTAGTTTCGCATTTGATTGGTTGCGAGGATGCGTGAGTTCTCTCATCCAATCACAAAGTGATGTAAAGTAAGACCAACGCAATCTCGCATAACTTTTGAAACTCGATTGAAAGTTCCTCTTAACTGATTGGTTGAGAGAATGGCACACTGGGTTACTCGACCCAGCAATTGTATTTCTTTAAACACTCAATTGGAATATGCTCAATAAGCAGCCAGCACATCGCCTTGAAATTTTGGGGATTTGTTGGAGCTTTCTTAAATTTTGTGCGCCGTATAAGCAAACCAACTACACCGACAACACCCAGATATTTCATGACCGCTTGGAAGGTATTACCGATATCAGATATGCATGCTAATTCGCAAGAGCTTTATCTGCCATTAGCTAATAACTCTTCAGTCACGAAGGACATAGAAAGTGTTCTTTGTAGACACTTGAGGAACTTGATTATAGAATTTGGCTCTAAAAAAAGGCAACACCCCTAATTTCTCAGATCGATAGCTATCACTAAATATCGACTGTATTTAGAGAGGCTCTGATATTAACAGGAAAAAACATATTATAAAACATAATTAACCATAATTTTCTCCGGCAAAATATTCGATAATTAGTAAATGTTAACGTTTAAACTGAAACAAAACGGGAACGAACATCCTTGATGAGCTACACTGTCCATAAACGGACAATTGTTTATTATATCAAAACATGCACTCCTTTAAAAAATGTAACAATATAATTTCCTGAATGTAAATAGATCGTTTTTATGGTCAATATCTTGTTGAGAACGTTCGACGTCTGTGCAGTCCTGTCTTTATTTGAATCGTCGGCCAAAAACCATTCTTTGAGAGTTGTTGATCAATGCTCTAGATCTGTGACAAGTCTATAACAGAGATTATCAGCAGACTCTTAGTGACCCCTTCTCTTGAACCTGCACGTTCGACACAGGCAAGGCGGCTGATGTTGGAAGTACGCAGATGTATATTACAATCCCACTGAAACTACCAATACGAGGGGATATTGCATTCTGAATGCTGTTTATATCGAACTGATTGAATTAATCTGATCACCGTATCAATTCAATCACCGGAAAACAACTGCTGAGAACCGCCAGTTTGACTCGTTCCAAAAATAAAATTAGACTACCAGACTATTCTTCTCTGAGAGTGATCTATTTATGGCACGTGCAAAGCTATTACAGTACAACGATTTAATTTCTACGTTTTGTTGATTTGACAAGGGGGACCTTTCGTTAGCTTACGCTGATACTACAATGAAAACAGTTTTGTATCAGACGTACTCGTACTAATTCGTTTTGTTTTATCTGTCTGCCAGGTCAGCTTTGCGTCGCTAGCAAAATATTTAGAAAATTGGCTCTCCAAAAATGACCCAGACCTCTTTAGTTTTCCTGTATTGCCTAACATCGGCGCCAGAGTGTAATACTCACATCCTGAAGCCTTAGTTTACTTAGGAATTAAAAATATTTGTTTTAAGTTTGGATCATGATACGATTCTTTGCCTTGGCTACCTTAGTTGAAAGGCATTGCTTTACGCATGTGCGGGAACTAATCAGGCCATCGAAGATACACTTTTTCCAAACAACAGGCCTTTTCAAGCATTCCCTGTTTTCAATGTGATCGATGACATCTTTGCTTTCAAATGTTGATGCTGATTTGGTACAAACACTACTTTGTTTAACGGGGCCCTTATTAAAACGATGAAGGCAACGAGAAGGAAAAGACTGAAAGTGTACAGACCAGTATTTGGTTTGAAGATCGACATTTTATATCTCATATTTGCTCCCAGGTCACTGGGCAAAACATTGCATTGAGGAGCTTCAGCTGGCCTGCTACAGAGACTCTTACTCGTTGCACTGATCGTAAAGCAAAGCACTGATACTTATGCTGGTTCTATACATTTGTCACAACAAGTCAATCATCTAGATTTCCGAATAAACACCTTCACCGTCAGTCCACTTTGCAAAACCTTGCAACAAATTGGTCACTGCACGGCCCCGTACCCATTACGTCGATCGCATTCCCGTTATCACACCTGAATTACTTCCTTCCGCAGGAAACCCACTTTGGATCCATATACATTTATCACTATAAGTCGTTCATCTCTATTTCCGAATAATCACCCTCATCGTCATCATCTTCATTTTCAAGCCTAGTTCTTCCCTTATCACCCTTTCGTTTTAAACTTTTCGCGCATCGTCCACTCCGGTACAGTTCAACTGTGATGATGATCGTCGCGATGAACAAGAAAGCGGACACAAGGCCGATGAACATGTAAAGAGCAACATTTTCATGGTGTCTCTTTGCCTCTGGAGATAGGTTCGTGGCACCTTTAGTGAGGCCCAGCGAATTAAGAGCGTCTGTTAAATTGTCTTGATGGGCAATCATGGCTTTTTGACTTGAATCCTGCTCATGGGAAGGTGAAGGTTGACGGGACATCCCTCTTAAGAATGAAACATTGGTGCTTTTGTGTCATGTGCCTCGTTGTCCTTTTTTTTTTTTACTCCATTTCTAGAGAAAGAAAAGATGTATTTAAACATTTTTTAAAATATTCAGGAAACCTTAATCATGCTTTTCAAGGTATAAAATTCAAGAAAAATATCTCAAAATCAGCCACAGACATTGCCTAATTAAATCTAACTTTTTCATAACCGTGTTTGTGTTCAGTCTTACATAAGGTCAAAAACCAAGCCTTGCGAACCAAGTAAAACTTAGTAAATACATTTTAGTACGACTTGTGTCATATGCAGATTTTCATTGGAAAAACATCTATAAATAGAACCAGAGATGAATACCTTTTCTCTTTCACATAAATTTAATTTCAAGTTTATATTGAGAGTTAGACAATTCAACATCTGATATCTCCTCGATTGAGGAAGAATAATCAGTGAAATCAGTTTTAAAAGCAATGCGTGAAACAAAGGCTTTTGTGGCGACACGTTAAAGTGAAAAAACCAGCACTCTAGAAGTCTCAAAGATTCGTTGGGTAAGAAGAAAGCATGACTCTTTTCGCTCAGAAGTCATAATGCAATGCAAAATTCTCATAAAAAACCTCTCTCTCCTTCTATCAACATTTAGATAAACCTTACTACGACTTTCTATGGTTTCCAACTCACCTTTGACAACAGCACTCCCTCGTACATTTATAAATTTATGACGAAATAAATAGGCATTGTTATCACACATTCAAGTTACTAACACGTCAAGGGTGATAAAAAAAAATTCACATACAATTTCCTCAAATGACATTTTTAAAGTAAAATTACGAATTTCGTCAAAAACAATGCTTTATTGTCAAGTTCTTGTTCCTTTCAACAATGCTTTATTTGAATTAAAGTGATTGATTAGGCTTTCTACATCAACACATTCAATTTCAAACTGAATTTCTGCTATCAATACAGGGCGATCTCGAACCACCTTAAAACTTGCATATGTGAATAAAACTAAGATCATTTTGACAGATACCGCTTTAGAACTGTGACATGTGTGCGTCCTTTTTATACTGTATCAAAGCTGAAAAAAATTCTCTTAAAACGTTTGTTGATTACAATCTCACAAAGTCAAAATTTTTTCCTATATGGAAAGTTTTGTTTTTCGTTCTATTACGGGCGGTAGCTTGTACAAGTTATCGTTGAGAATATATGAAAGTCATATATTTGAACTGCGGATAAAGACGTGAATGAAAGTGATCCTCGCAGTAATGTGCACTACTTAGGCAGTGGTAAAAATAAGGCCTGAAAAAATTCAGGCCTGTACGGGCCTGTCCGTACAGGCCTGAATTTTTTTCAGGCCTTATTTTCACCACTGCCTAAGTAGTGCACATTACTGCGAGGATCACTTTCATTCAAGTCTTCATTGTTACTGTGTGTATCCATCATGTATACAAACGCTCTTTTTTTTCATGTATACATAATTCAGGCTTTTGTATTTCTTAAAAAAAACATTTGCTCATTTTTGTAGTTAAAATTCATGAAAGTAATGATACGTTTTCTCCCCAAATTTTTTAAGGAGATTCCTGTTGCCAAGGTATCGGCTATTAGACTTTCCTGCTTGCAAACAAGCTTTTATGTAAATTCTAACTTCTTTTTCTTTTTAATAGTATATATTACGCAATTGAAACGAATTTACTTCTTTCAGATAGCACAATTTTGAAATGTTGAGGTTGAAGACGGATTCTTCAATAAAAAGGACAAATTTTGATTAAGTGGCATGTATAGAAGCGGGCGTATAGTACACTCTAGTTTAAGTTAAATTTTTTACTTAACGAAATGGTTTGATGGTAAAGCTAGTTGACGAACTATTTAGCAAAAATCGTGTATCTCATTTTACATTTATTTTTTTTTCCTCCATTTTTGGGAAGCCAGCGGCGAACACGAAACTGAGACGAATATACACGCGTTCGTCGCTTTGCAATAAAGGAACCTAATTTGATTGTACTGTAAGCCCGCAAATGCTTTCTCATTTTGGCAAACGCTGTCATAGCAGAAAGAATATTTGAAAAATTTTAACTTGTGGAAGGAACAATAACGATTTAGAAGGGAAAATATATATTTCGGAAGATACACAAAGACCCATTGACGAAGCAAGATCGCAATTGACCTCAACGTGAACTAACAGTGATTGAAATGTGGTGTAAATTGTGTTTCTCTCAATAGTTCTCAGATATTATCGAATCTCTGACTCACCTAAAATGCCTTTGATAACAAGCTTGAGTGATCCTGAGCGCTTCATTTGGCTCGTATTTCAACGAATAGCCCCGCCATTAGTTGTGGTTTAAGAAAGGGCTGGCTCAGATTAAAAACACGGACGAAGCATAAATTATGCAGAACCGAAGGGCTTGCTGGGACGACAGACAATGAATGACCTGCTTGGTACCAGCTCAAGGTATGAATGTAATTATAGCATAGTTCTTCAGCTTTGCACAATTTTTCTCTTTAGTTTAAGGTAAACAAGCCCAACCTATTTAAAACACAGATATGATTTTAGTTTATACAAGTAGTGAAATCTTGCAAACTTAAATTTCAAATTGAAGCTAGTTTTCATGAATCTCTATTCGTTGGCGATTTGTCTCAAAAATCTCGATAAATACAGCTACCGGCCGATGAAAATATCGTTCTCAAAGCTCTTTTCTCGATTTTATTTGATCAGTCTTTCCAGTCATGATTTTAATATCGAAATTTTACAAAGAATGATCCTTCAACGGAGCTTTGAGCCAAAACCTTCCTCAACAAACAGCTTCAAATGGGCAATCTCGGCAAATCTCGTTAGAACAGAAACTTGATGGTTTATTCGCCATAAAAAAGCAATAGGATACGCGGTCTGTGCCAGGTAGTTGGAGCCAAATCGGTCTTTCTCATCCACGTCTGGTGTTCCAGCAACTTCATCATCAAAGGGAGCCAAAATTCTTGGTCAAGGACACCAAAATTCGAGCTCCTCGCAGTTTTCCCCGGCTGCAGCTGCTCAGTCGCTGAAATCGTAACCTTTTCAAATATGGAACAGCATCATCCCGCACCCACCCCACCCCCGACCCTCACCCCTCTTTTCGTCCATCCTAAGACACTGCTCCTAACTAATGTTTTTCAAGAGAATAATTTTCTTTAACCATGAAGTGAAAACACCCAGACAGGATTTTCCAACAAGCTAACTTTTTAAAACATGTATTCGTGTTTGTTTTTTGTTTGTTTTTGTTTTCGTCTTCTGGCATCTTTCCTCTAATGAAAATGGTGAGCTGCGGGAAACAAAATTTTGACAAATGGTGCCTTTAAGTCTCTTCCTTTTGAACCAATTACCACCCATCTACGGCATCATCTAGTCGTTCCCTTCACCTCCGCCCTTCGTTTGATTTCTTAAAAGCTCAGAGAGTCAACAAAATAATGTTCAGGTATCAGAAAATCAAAAAGGTTTAAAAGACAAATCTAAATTCGTGCCTTCGAAAAATTACCACATTGACAGAAGTGGATGCTGGGGTACATTCCACCCAACAGTCATTTTTAGTAAACATCCGCAAGAGACTGGATTCTAGGTCTAACAAATATGGCGGAACTTGCGACAAAGACAGTAAAATTTTCTGACGCTTGAACATTCTCCCTGATCACACGGCTCAGTCGCTGATCGATATAAAAGTCTACTAAAAACATCTCTAAGAACTCCTTTCCTTTGCAATTCGGGTTTGTGAATTCTTGGAACGGGTACAGAGTTAGCGAAAATGTCGCTCGTCGCCTACGGGAGCAGCGGAGATGAAGAGAGTGACGAAGAACTACAAAGCAATCAAGATGATGTTAAACATCCCTCTCTCAGCTCCGAAAAAAGTGATCCCGGTAGAGGAAAGGGTTTGGTTCTTCCTAAACCGACGCAAGAGAAGAATACATCGAATTCTTCTACCAGTTTAAGTGGGAAAACTGGATTATCTTCATTTCTACCAAAGCCTAAAAATGTGAGCAACCTCGAAAGAGAAGCTGTCGACAACCACGGTTCCTCTGATAACAAGAACCTTCCTATTACCTTGGAAGGGATGGCGGATGATGAGGAGATTTTGGAAATCGAAGAAGAGTATGAGCCAATTGCAAAAAGAGCAAAGAAGGTTGACAATTTTGATGGAGATGAGAAGCCGATGTCTGTAGGCAGCCTTTTCTCTCTTTTACCCGCACCTTGGAAAGCAGACAGCACCTGGCAAAGGAAAAAGAAGGATGGTAAAGCGTCTGTGGCTGAGGATAGAAAATTAAAGCAACCAGTCAAAATTTCTATCCCCACTGCACCTAAGGTAATTACAATAAACATCCAGCAGTATTCTCTGGAATAACAAGGAACCTTTTGGCCTACTGCAGGTTTCCAAAGTGTCAGCTACTTTTATTAGAGGAAACAGTTTGATACCTGTCTTGATCTGATATGCACATTGACCTTAGCAGGCTAGTTTTTTCAACGGCAGTCCTGTGAAAATACTTCTGAGAACACTGATCATCCATTGCAGCTTACATTAATCATTGCATTGCCTAAAGTAAGGTTGCACTGTAGCTTGCAGTGTTTTCCTTTTCAGGCAGTAACTAGTAAAATTTTCCACTTGAAGTACGCCTTAAATCACTTGGAATTATTGAAAATTTAATAAGTAAAAGGGTTGCTCCACCAGTTTGAATATTTCTTTCACCAGTTGTGCTTAAGATAAGGGAGAATAATGAGCAAGCTGGCAAAGAAATGTTAAAGCTGCAACATATCACATTAATATACTAATCATAACCATTACAATTTCCTCACGTGTAATTGGTACAATAGCTCCTTTATTTTTCACTTATCGTTCAGTACAGTTATAATCAGACAGTAACAACATCAACCATGTATCCCTTAAAAAAAGAAAAATGGGAATTTCCAAAGTGGAAGAATCTTTTACTCAAGACATTATCTCTACCAGAGATGTTTGTTCTATATTTTTCTTTTTCCAGAAATTGTAACAGTTTTGATTAATTGGTAAGAGGACTTCATGTTGTCCAATTCTGTTTTTAATCATACATGTGACTGACAAATCAGACTCCCACTTCATGGCCATCTTTTTTTGTTTGTCATTCATATGACCAAATTGAACTCCACTACCACCACTATATATACCTGTTGAAAATTTGGTCTCCCTAATGCTTAGTGCACTGGACTACTGCTCAAAAGTTCAGGACTGAAGATGAGGTCTAGTCATTTTATCATGTTCCTGGTTAAAGATGCTCGACTCTTATGCGTATCTCCAACTAGAAGAATTGAAATACACGTATTTGCCAAAAAGTTGTCAGAGGAACCAAATAAGACACTATTGGGTAAACTTTAGTGATACAAGTTAATTCCCCTTAGTATGATGCACTCTCAGACACACTTATGTGTAGACTTGTAGAGTGTATAACAAGAGTGTAATTGTGATACATGTCTAAAGTTGGAGCACTATATGGGAGAGAGACTCATGTTCCCTGTCATAAAAATATTTTAACATCACCTCATGATTCACATATTTGGTGAACATCTCACAATTTTGATTCAGCAGACACATGATAAGGAGTCTGCTTTTGAAAGGGACAAAATCATCATTGATATTAATTATAAGTGAAAACAAAAAGCCACAAAGGTGTGATGCTGATCAGCAAATCTGATGAATTTTTGATAAACATTTTCTTTCAGACTGATTCTGATGAACACAAAAAGCCACAAAGGTGTGATGCTGATCAGCAAATCTGACAAATTTTTGATAAACATTTTCTTTCAGACTGATTCTGATGATGAAGATGATATGCCAGCAGCAAAGAAACTTGGACCATCAAAGGTAATGTATGCATAAGGTGTCAATTTATATTGATTTGTGGTAAAAAGTTTATATGCTTATGAAAAGGTTTGCTGTAAACATAGCATTAGACGCATGCCTAGGAGATGGCAGGTGGGAGTGGATTTATATTTTTTCTATTTGATCAAACTTTTATTACTACTGGTTTATTCATTTATATTTAATCTTATTTTCACTTTATAACTCAATTGCAGGGGGGAGTGGATTAATGTTTTTTACCTTGAGCAATGTATTATATGCTGCATGCTAACTTTTGACAGAGTATTTGAACTGGTTTATTTCTTTTTTTTTAACCCTTTAACTCCTAAGATCTCATTAGTAATTCTCCTTTCTGTTTTCCATACAGTTCTTGTCATATCAGTTTGGAGAATTTGGTATTGGATCAACTTATAATCCCCTAATTGATATTTTTCTATATTATCATCACTTGTCTGCTTGATATTGTATTGATATTGTAAGAAGAAATTCTGTCTCAGTCACTTATGGGAGTTAAAGGAACTGATGTTCATCATTTTAAGGAAGGATCAGGACTCAAAGCACTTCTTCCCAAACCCAAGCACAGTATCACACGGAGGGCAGACAACCCAAACAAACCTGCTGTTAAATTAACAAGCAGGCCATTGATACCCCACACATTGACAAAGAAACCAACACCAGCACAGGAGAGGAAAACAGAAAAAATGGTTAAGAAGAGACAAGATGAAGAAACTGTCAGTGAAGATGAAGATGAGCCTGTAAGCTTTTTTACATTCAATGACAAAATTGAGATCAAATCTGACGAAAAAGTACAAACTCTTCAGAGTGAGGATACTGAGTCAATGACAAGTTTCAATGTTTCAGCAATAGAAAGGCCAAATCCTCTTTCATTATCATTGTCACAAGATCAGATACCATCAAGTACTAACATGTCTCAAAGCAGTGCAAAGCATGTGGATGAAGTAACACATCCTGTTATAGATGACACAAGTGCTCAGGCTGCTTTCTCAAGTGAGGAAATCTCTTCTCAGAAGGAGCTGGAAACTAAGACTTACTATTATGATCAACAAAGTGAGCAAAGCCAGGAATACGGAGGATATTCTGCTGTTGATAATAGCTATTATGTGAGTATAAATACCAATATAAATGCAAACAAGTGCATGTTGTAATTGAAATTGCATGTATATATGTGGTAAAATATTTCCATCTGCTTTTTTTAACTTTCAGCATCCCCTATTCCAAATGATTCGTAATTGAGGCTGTAAAATTAAGAGAACTAAGATTAAACCCAAGCTATGATAATTTATTTTTATTTTAACCTGAAGTTTAAATTTCACTGTGATATAGACACCATTTACCACATGTAAAAAGTGTCTGTGGGGCTTTCCTGTTGACATCCAATTGTGGTTTCAGTTGGAAGATAGAGATACATATGCCTGGCTGTATAGTCATGTTGTTATCATGGGATTGTTAAATGAATGCTGTTTTTTTTTTTCTCCCTCTCTCTCTCTATCTCTGTTTTTTTTTTTTCCTGATTGTTTTCTACTTTTTCCTCAGGCAAATTATAATTATAATGCAAGCTCTTCTGCCAGTCACCCTTATTATAATCAAGAGACTGAAAGCTACACCCATATGTACCCTACAAGTGCTACAGGTGTTGTCCAGGGTCAAGGCAGTCAGGCTGACCAAACACAACTCGATCTAGAGAAGGTACTTAACAAACAATACATTGCAAAGGGTCCTTGGTGCACTTTGTACTTAATGTTCTTATTTCTGATGGAACTGTGGAACAGGAGTAATGTCGTGTAGGGTGGCCCCGAAACAATAATTTTTGGTATTCCCAAATTGTTAGCCTTTGTAACTTCTATTCAAGCCGTAAACATGTAGATGCCAGGTGTATCTGTTAAATCTAAGCATATTTCAACACATAACAATTGGTGTAACACTCAACAGTTTTTGAGATGTATTAGCCACAATATATATGTGACAAAATTTTGCTCATACTGTATACCCTGGGAATTGTCTCCAATCTTTCAACATGCACAAACCGACTTGTAGCTCCAAAAAGGATAAATTAAATAGTTTCCTGATGGTTGCATGTAATTTTTTCAGATGAAGAAACTCAAAGGAAGAGGAAATCGTGGCGAAGAAATCAACATAGTTGATATTAATGCTGACGATCAAATAGGGAACTCAGCTGAGATGTTGACGAAATACGGAACCGAAGAAATTGCGTATGCACCTTCTCGGGTAAAGGATGTTACAATTTTTTCTTCCTTTTAACACGGAATTTATATCTTGAATACTTAATGCTATTATAAAAAAGAACCAAACAAACAAACAAATATTCCGTTGTGTGTAATTCATAGGTCACAGTCCGTATTCCTCGGTCTTCCGATCGACTTTGTGGTTAAGGCTTAACCCTTTCACTCCCAAGATCTCACTCCCAAGATCTGAGTGGTAATTCTCCTTACTGTTTTCCATACAATCCTCGTGATGTTAATACGGAGAATTTGGTGTTGGATTAACTACTAATCCCCTAATTGATAGTATTCTTTATTCTTATCACTAATCTACTCGAAACTGTATCGCAATTTCAAGGAGAAATTCTATTTTGGTCACTTATGGGAATTTAAGGGTTGAGCAGTGCTATCCTGCGAGGAGGCCCTTATTATTTGCTCTTTCCACCCGCCCATAAATTTTAGTCCTTGAGCAATAAAAACCTTCAAGAGTTCTGCGAGTGGTCTGGTACTTAGTTCCAGATCCCTTGCAGACCTCTCGCTGGCTCGCTTTGCTCCCGGCCCCAAACTTACTCGCGGGCGAAGAAATGGTGATACAGCCTAAAGCAATTGTTTATGATTGCTGAGGGATTTTCGAAATCCTAGATTGGACTCTTCTTGGGAGGAGCAATCGGAACTTGTTTTTCCTTTGCCTGTGGCGCTGATCAAAACTTGAACGGTGAGGAAAGAGGAAACGTTCGCTGTTCATTCACTCGTGTCTCTTTATGCTTTTATATACAGAAAAAGAAAGACATGCCAACAGCTCAACAAAGAAGAAAACATCAGATCACTTATTTGGCTTATCAGGTAAGTTTTGATGGGAGGACTGGCGCCTGGGCGGGTTTCACATCATACTTATCAGACTCTGTCTCTCAGACAAACGGGAATCACTTTATATCCATCTCCCGGCGTGTTAGTTTAGCTCATCAATTGTTATGGGTATTTAAATATACGTGCAACTGTTTACTGAAGTGGATAAACTATAGAATGTAAATGTTAAAGATATCCATAGAATTCAAGGACACTGTACATCAAGTGAGCGCGGATGTAAGCGCGATTGGTGGTTTTCACTGTCTTATTTGAGTTTTTGCGACATGACGGAAGGGCTAAAACGTTCGTTGTCCATGTCACTTTTAGATCAGTAAAATGCATTATTAAAACTAACTGCCAGTATGATTATATTCTCCGTTCTTTGCGTACGATTCTAAACCAAATAATTTTTTCGAGTTGTATCTGAATTTTGTTCCTTTTGTAGGCTAAAGAGAGAGAGCTGGAATTACGCCAACAGTGGTCGGCTAATCGACAGACTCGCAGACAAACTCAGTCAAAGTATGGATTTTAAGAGTCGATGTAGTATCTTTGTGCATGTAGCCAGATTCTGCTGTGAGCTCAAATGCAGCCGACACAGTACAATTGCATTTAAATTTGCTTCCTTTTTCTGCTCTTAAGTTGTAAGTCAACTACCTGCTGACTTACTTCTCCAAAAGGTCAGTTTGACTATTCAGTCTATTTTTGCGTACGTGCATCTACTAATTGTCGTATAGTTCAAGTAGCTTCCTGGTATCCCATTTATGTGTTGTTTCCTGTACACATGTGCGTGAATTTAGTTATGCATACAGTGCACGTTAAGGGTGCCGACGTGTCCCCCATTGTTACAGAAGACACTGGGGTCTCAAGTTGAAAGCAAATCTTCCAAGATACCTCAGCAAGTAGTGATAAAGATGAATGGCCCCACGCGTGGTAGAGCTGAGTTGATTGTCAGCGAGAGGATGGTTGGAAGGTAGCGATATACATTGCACTGAACGCGGCCACTTGCTATTCGCTTCAACTCGAAAAATAGTATTTGTGGATCGTCTTTGCACTCAGACATTTTTTGGAGGACTAAGCAAAAGAATTGGGTGCAAAGATTTTTCCTTCCCTTTCCGGATGGTTAGAACGATTTACCATTGGTCAATGATATCCTCAGGGAACCATCAGCCTATCAAAAAGCCGGTCAAAATCGCTGTAACGACCTGGCATTCCCTTGGTGCACACTGTCGACCAAAGTTCACAACAGCTGCGGCAGAAATGGTACAAACAAAACAACAATTTTACTTAAGAACTATATTTGAGCAGTTAACTGTTAAAGATTTCCGTAGAACCCCATACTTTTGAAAACAAAGCCTCAATGTCAATCGGTTAATCCTAGAACTGTATACATAATGAAGTAGGGAGCTGTGCGGAAATCTTGCTAAAAACTGTGTAATATAATCTGTGGATTTACATGAATGTAAAAAGTGAGCGGTCTTACGACCTTACTGAATAAATCTCCGATAACGAAGAGAATTATGTTGATGTATTACGCGGAACAGCTACGCAAAAGAAACGCGTTAACTCTGTACTTGTGAAGTTCAATGTTTCTTGATTGCCAGATCAATTCTTGCAGTGTCGTCCTCTTGAGCTTGATATGAAAAAGACTTATTTGATCGCTGGAGGCCAGAACCGTTATTTGGTAAATAATGGTCTCAAAAATTCATACGGAAATCGGAACTCGAAGGCCGCAGTTTTATTAGTTTACTCATGCATAATTGCCATAATCGTCAAATTCCTTGCTTAATTCCTTTGACAAATATTGGAGTCCCTGGCGTTTCTCGAATTAAGGTCCCAACCCGTTTGGAAGACCTTTATCGTTGTGTTATTGTAATTTCAGACAGCATGTACGACCAGTATTGAGAAAACTAAAATTAAATTCCGTGGACCTGATTGAAAACCTTACGAACAATAAGGAACCAATAATTATAGATGTAATACCTACTTTTAGTAGCTATTTCGTATTTGACAACCAAAAGTACTAGCGAATTATTCATCAATTCTATCTGTTAATTTCTCTTGAGGCCCAATATAGCGAATCGGTCCACGTTCGTCTGATTCACAGCTAAGTCGTTTTACAATTTTACCGCGTTTTTCAGTGGCATAATTTACGTAGTTGAGTACACTCAGTTTTTTTCTCTTTGCACTGCTTAGAACGCAGTATTAAATGAGATATTTAATTGTTCGTTTGCGTACATTTACAGACCATATATACAATTCCGAAAAAAAATTTTCCTAACAAGATCTTTCATAATGTCACTATCACCGCGAGGTCCTGGCGCAAGGCTACGAACGAGAATTTCGCCCTCAGAATTAATATTGTGCTAACCTAAGACTTACCCATTAAATATCCCAGGATGCATTACGGCAGTTATAAGACATACTTCTGTAAATTCAGGTTAGGTTTGAGAGAAATTCCTCGTTCACGGTCTAGATTTTTGAGCTGTAGAGTTTTATAAACTGCCATCGGCGACTCTCCATTTTATTTCGCGCTATCTATGACTAGAAGCATCGATAACTGACCTTCACCCTGTTTATTTGGGATGATGTTTGTTAAGAAATGTCATCTCTCTTAATATCATTAATTACTTAACTCAGAATCTTCTCTATAAAATGCAAAATGCTGCAAAGGACACAACATTCATAAACGTCTATTTCTGGGTTCTTGAGTATACACTTTTGTTTCGCACTTGCGGCATTTAAATCTTGTGTTGAACAAGAAAAGCATGCGTTATCTTTACGACATTGTATCTCAGACTACGCCTCCATGACTTGTGAAAGGAACTTCCCACCAGCCAGCGTGGAAAGAGGTAAATTGACAAATAATCCCTTGGTGGCACATTGGGACCCGAAGCTCTTTAGTCATGTTATTATTGCTCCATCATAAAGTGATACATCTCAGTGTCGACCTCTAGGTTGATCAAAGAGCCTGGTAATCTTCTGGGATAGTTTCTATAGAGAAATGGAAAGTTTCTTGTCAGTAATGCGGAGAAAGCAGCTAGAGAAAGCTTTGCAGTTTTATGTTGCTTGCTCGACTAGGTAAATGGAACTATGGAGTTTACAGCCTTGGCAGATACGTTTGCAACGTGCCTTGGGTACCAAGGCATTTACATCGACACTTACCACTACATCTGTATGAAAGATTTTTCCACAACACTTGCCCTTGTGAAAACGCATACATCCCGACTTTGCCGCCTTTGAGAGTCTTGTCAATTATATATCCGGTATCCACTATTATCTCGCCTTCAGCATAAACGACCAGTCTAAAAAAATAACGGTTACAGTAAATTAAAAAATAGACCACACACTGTTGTTTCACGGTCATTTTCAAGCATTTTGGTTACATTAAGGTCGCTTGGAGAATTCACGACGACTGGTGAAGATCGAACAGAATTCACCTTTCCTAAATTTTCAGACATAGTATCTTTTCTTCTTTAGATTAGTGAACTATAATTGTTTAGACTTACTTTATTAGTCCAATGGACGGTCTGTGCATCAGCCTAAATTCATGATCTGTTTCGTCCTTCCATGCTCTTTCCTTGCTGTCTCGCCAAATTTCTTTACTCTAAGGAGATATGGCATCCAGATTAGTTTGTTCCACGTACACTGATGCAGTTCTAATGCCTTGGTTTCTGAGACCAATTTTAAATTATGTATTTTTTTTGTTTGTTTGAGGTACATCCAAAAGGAATTTGAAGTGTGATCTTAGTTGCAATAGTATACTTTTTTTCTCGGAAAAAATGTAAGGGTACGATTTTCGTAATGATGGAGATGAAATACGAGTTTCTCGGCGCTTTCCGGAACGGAACTGGAAAGTTCACCCTCGTAGTTCACGTGGTTACTGAGCTAGAAAAATGCATAACTGGCGCTAAAATCAAAGCTTGGTAACCAGGCTTAAGTTTCCCAAAGGGGTGGGCTAATACCAAGAGGCCAAAGGAGTTGTCATTTCTAAGTTTTTACTTACTTCTCCATCTACGTCACCAGAATGCCACAGTGCATTTCTGAGAGCAAATCCAGGACCAGTTTTAGAATCAACAAGCTGCAAGATAAAGAATCAAAGAACAAATAAGAAAACGGACAAAATTTCTTCAAGTTCCCATGTTACGCAGTGAAGAAAATTACTTGTGTTGTGGAGGGGGCAGGTGGGGAAGAGGGACCAGGCCCCAGCAGACCTAAGAGCTGCCCATGTGCGTCACGAGTTTTCGTTACCGGCAATCAGTGAAACTTCGAAACTGGCTAAGGAAAGTATGGTGAATCCGCAATTGATACGCTGAACTTTACTCATCTTAAAACTATAAAATGTTTACTCAAGTATGAATTACCTTAATTTGTATTCCTTTTACTGCTGTTGCCCTAAACGGTTGCATTTCCCAGTACACTTGATCTTCCTGTTTCCATGATATGACGTAGAACTGTCGGTTGTTTTGGTAACTGAACACTAATCCCACGAAATCGTCATCGTGTTTTGTTGAAACTCGAAGTGTTCCGTTGAAATCCACACCGTTAAACCGAACATCCCCTAAAGTTGTAAGAGAGTCAAAAATTAGTTATTTTCACTCAAGTCATAGGATCAAACATTTTAAATTAATACTTTGGTTTGAAACCAACATTGCCCCTTATGACTAATGTACGGTAGGTAAATGTCTCCACTTCATCAACCGAGTAGATGCGAGTCAAAGGTAGTCTTACACTTGACAAGTTTTCTTGGTTGACTGTTGTTGTGGGTTATCTGTGAAGAGTATTGTGTCTGCTTCTGGGAAACATACTCGAGATAGCGGGTTGCACCAAAGTTGGCCATCTTACAGCAGGCCGTACTTTGCTCTAGGTCAAACACACAAATTTTATTCTGGTCTCTTTGCTATCCTCCGTTGTCACCAATGACATACCAAGCACTGCGCAACTTCCATAACTGAGGCTGCTACAGAGGGAATCTTTGACACTTACCGACAGCAATCCCCGGATCACTGTTCTCTTCTTCTGATACTTTGGTGCCCTAAAAACATAGCAATCAAAAACTTTAAGTCATCATCTACTTGTAACATGATACATTGTAATTCAGCAGTGGCAGCTCCTCAAGGTAGCTCTCTGTCCACAGATTTCTAGGTCAAAATTGGAATTTGGAGTGTTGGTCTTTGTAAAGGACTGAAAAAAAGAGACCGCGAAGGGAAACCTTCGAAGCAAGGACAACAAACGGTAGAACTTATAATGGGTTAAAAGAGGTAAGGTCTTTATTTAAAGAAGAGCGCCGAGAGCTCTCCTTGAATGGTTCTTATACCTTATCCACACCTACAAAAAACTGAGTGGGAGAGGAGATGGATAAGTGGCAAATGCTAATGTGCTAATGTGCAGGTAACGGCTTACTGGTCGGGGAACTTAACAAAAGCCGAGGAGTAATTCTACGATGGACTGGAATCCCATTTGAGAGGATTAGCTAGATTCCTAGTTGTGGGATGGCTCCTGTAACCGGATATACACTAGCAGAGTTGGCCTACGGGTTGGTAAAACGACTGAACCATGTAACATTTAATTTTCCATCAAAATAAGGCATCTTCTCACCGTCCCATCCACCGCCCAGATGGGTGGCTTGCTTTGGCGTTCAGTTGGACTAAGATCAATTTTCATCAGGTTGGTAAAGTCTGTGTGGGTCACATGATGATTAATCGAGCACGCATCCTCATAATCCGGGATCTTATCGCCATCGAAATCGCCATCACAGGGGTCTCCGAGACCGTTTCCTGAAATGAGCAGAAATCGTTGGTTGACAATTTTACTACAGATCGATGTAAAAGTCAAAATGCTGATTAAACACAGCGTCACTTGCTCTTAAAGGACAGCATAGGTTTACTTACCATTCAAATCTCGCTGAGTAGGATTGGGTACCAGTTGACAGTTATCAATTCTATCCGGAACTCCGTCATCATCGTCATCGTCATCACAGGCATCACCTGGATGAAGACAAAAGAAATGATTTTTTACAACAATTTCTGCACTGTGGCTCACTGCAGCTAATAAAACTCTGATTTGCTTGGCATTTAACTTAACTCCTCGGCGTATTTTGGCCAGCGTTCAGTATTCCATCGTTAAAAGTATGATCGTAAATCTGATTTTAATGGAATAGGAAGTTAAGTTGGATAAAGTACGAAATTTCTTCTTCGTGGTTCGACGATGGGAAGAGGGAGGAGAAGGACGGTGGGGAAAAGCACAGGGACAGGAAAGTCTTTCGTGTTCTTTCCTGGTCCACCCCTTCCCCCCCCTCCCTCTTCTTCCATGTCGCCCTACCCTAAGCTGTAGGTTACCGAAGGTTATTCTCGTTTTTTTATTGTATTTTTTGTATTTACTTGAGGTCCCCTAAAAACACGATGATGCTTAATATATCAATGCTTACATTAAGTTGAGTACTTTTTCTTTTGTCGATTTTTTTTAATCATCGTTATTGTAGTTGTTGTTATTGTTATCATCTTAGTTATCATTAAAACATTAGGAAAGTAATGTGTTTCGCCAACCTTGCTGATCTTGGTCGTTATCTATCTGGTCTGGGTTGGTAACTCCTCTGCAGTTATCGATCATGTCATCCACGCCGTCGTTATCGTCATCTCTGTTCAAGTCACAGTTATTTCCCAGTCCATCGCTGTCTCTGTCAATCTATAAATAAATCAACATGTAGACAGTCAATAAAATGCTCGCCCGGCTTTTTAAGGTAGAAGAAACGCTTGTCTTGAGTAAGAACTAATCAAAAGGCACGTGTGATTTAGCTCATTGTATAATTCCTCTTAGTCACCTGTTTGCTGTTCATTGTCGAGGGGCAGTTGTCGCACTTGTCACCAACTGTGTCTCCATCTCTGTCTTTTTGCTGTGGATTGTAGATAACTGGACAGTTATCTTGGGAGTTTAATACGCCTGTGAAGAGATAAAGACAAGTGAGGCTATTTGGTTGAAAAGCTGTCTTCTTGTTCAAATTCTGGTAGCCTGTGGTAGACTATCGGGCAAAAGAGACTAACATATGAGCGGGCGAGGGAAAAAAACGGCACAGTTCTTACTTCAAGTGACTTCAATTACCTTTTCTATTTCTTTCTATAGCCCAGCTTAGTAGCAATCTCCCGCAAAACGACTACCTGAAAGTGGCTTAATTGTGCAGTGTTCTAAATTCAATTCGGGTGACAGGAATTCGATCAGTTTTGATATTTGGAAGGGACGAGATATGAAATTAACAACTAATAGACATCAACCAGGAAGTCTCTAACGACGCCAAGGTTTATCGCAACCGTTGTGCGCATACTCTTTTTAAACCCGCGTTCTTCTTTTTAATCCCATGTTCTTTCTTAACCCCGTGTTTTCAATTTGATCAAAATGAGCAAGGAAAAAGAGAATTATAAAGTAAAATAGTCTGTATTGAAATTTGCAAAAGAGGAGCAAATCATTTTACCATCTCCATCCACGTCTTTGTCGCATACGTCGCCTATTCCATCTTTGTCAATATCGCCTTGGAACTTGTTGGTGACGTAAGGACAATTGTCGCATTCGTCGCCAAATGGATCGCCATCGACGTTGCTTTGTCCTGCGTTATAATGATGGGGACAATTATCCTGACGAAGAAAACGAGGATGGAATTCGCAATTAGTGGTCATTGCGTAAGATTGTCTTTAGCACTTGCAATTTCCTCAGCGACACCCAAGTTATAGGTCCGATGTCTAAAGTAATTGAATCATGACAAACACATCACATGCGCAACACTCTTGCAAAGTGCAACCTCTAATAAATCGATAACAAAATTTTTCGGACATCAAGAATAAGATGGTTTTTCTAATATCTAATACATTTGCTTTGTAACAAGATGAACATTGAGCGGGGAAACTCACTCAAAACGCTAGAAAAAAAGACATGTTTTGTTTATGGTGCACCTGTCTGGTGTAATACTTACCACATCGTTGTTAACGTTGTCCCCGTCCAGGTCATCGTCACATACGTCACCTATTCCGTCCTCATCGAGGTCCTTCTGATCTGGATTTGGTATTCGCGGACAGTTATCCTAAAAGAGATAAGCGAAGTAATTAAGGACCAGAGAAATAGACATGACTTGCAAGAGTGAAACGGAATTCTAAACTGGACAGCCTTTGTTCCATACGGTCACGTTCAATTTGGAAACAGGATGCATCCTTGAAGATAAGATGAGAGATTCAGCTTCGCAAACGAGCGGAAATGTAAGTAGTTGGCTGATATCCTGGTGTCACCAAAATCTATTAGATCAAATTCCGAAGACTATTCGATTCGAATAGATGTTTAAATGTCACGTAGAAAATGGTAGTGAAACAATTTCTAGTTAATTTTTCGTCAACTGTTCAGTCTGATCCATCTGATGTTCCACCCATGTGAAGTACTACATTAAAAAAGACTTGCTGCAGTCGTGGGAAAATAGATGCACAGAGGACAGGAGAGGGTACTTTCTCTTACCTTACGACATATCTTTTCTGTGCAGTTTAGTTCAATATCTGGAAAACCGTCTAAATCACCGTCCTCTGCACACAAGTGACCTTCTCCCGCATAACCAGGACGACACTTCAAAAACAAATGAAACTAAGTCAGTACCAGAGAAAGCTCAATTTAAGAAATGACCATGACTCAAAAAATTAAATTAGCGAGTCCAATTTCAGGCTGAAAGTTGAGAGTTTACAAAATGTACCTCGCACTTGTAGTTTCGACCGCTCTGAAGTCGAATGCATTTTGCATGCTGATTGCAAGGATTGCTTCTGGGATCGTTTGGATCGCAGTAACTCAGATGGTAACATGCGTGTCTTGGATCACCGGTAAATCCCTCAGGACAAGGCGAACAATCGTATGATCCCTGTAACAAAGATAGTTCAGAGAAGGTTAGAAAAATTTTTTTCTAATTCTGGGAGTAAGCAAAGGGGGCAATGATTTTTAAGATGTGTACTGCAGATGCAGTGCAGATGCATGTGTACTGTAAGATGCAGACTGAAGTGAGCGACAGCATGGTCTTACCGATGGATGCATCGATCGATTGACCCCAGAAAGGAAGCATCGATCGCTTGATCTTCCGAAACAAAACCCACCAACTTTAAAAAGGTGGTCAATCATGGAGACACAGAAGGTCAGAAAGGCAGACAGACCGACTAAAACAGTCCAGTCCTCCATATTGCTTCCTGGCCGCTCGACTAGCTTACCATAACTGCTTTATTCAGTGGTCCCTTTCTGACCGACTGAATGACTGACAGACTGATCAAGGAATGGATAAACAAATAAAATTGGTTGGTTATTACTATTCGGGCATGATCTTGGGAGATTTACTCACCGGGCTGTTATTGCACCTGGACTGTTCAGCACATTTACGTGGAGTCTCTGCGCATTCATCAATATCCACGCAAATCTATGCAAGACAACAAATCGTCACTGCAGTTAATCCTGTATTACGCTTGTTAAACTTGTATTAGGATTTTTTCATTAACCCCTATCAAATGCATAGTTTAGATGGACTTAATTGTTGGCGAACTTCAATATTTAATATACACACTGTGTGCGCAATAGATACGCAAAGCTTTGTATTTTTTATTAACAACTTTCACGGCTCTTTTCTACAATAATTGAAGTTACGTCAACATAAAAGTGCTTTTCACAGGAAAAGCTGGGTCCTTCAATACCTGTTTGTTGTTCCTAGCGAAGTACAACCCTATCCCATGAATCTCTTTGCCTGAGTAACCTTTAGGACATGGAGGACACCAATATCCGGGACTTCGATTCTGGCAGATCACCCCAACGTCTTTGGCGCAAGGGTCTTCTTCATGACACTTAGATGAAAGAAACAAGCGCACAGTTAACAGAAATATACATGTACGCAAAAGCAGAAGTAAATTCCGCAAACAAGCTAAGCTTTAACCACATATTTCTATGAGAATCTAGCATTCTTTTTAAACATATGAATTGCAACATTTACCTCATCAACATCTGAACAGTTGACACCATCTCCAATCATTCCAAGTGGGCACTCTCCGCATTCAAATCCTTTAACTGTAGATGGATCGTTGAAACAAGGTACGCCAGGAAAACATGGTTTAAAACGGCAGAAGTCTTGGACTATGAGAAGTAAAAGATTGGAAATGAAGACGATAAAGGAATGAAATCACAAGACACAAAAATGAGCCAACGGGTTATCAAAAACGTCCTGCCAAGGCTGCTGCATGCAATTGCCTACTGAGATGAATCAGATTTTGAGTACAGTGCTCAACTATTAAGAAGGGTGCCAAAAAAGTGTTCAGAAGCCGCGGTGGCTTGGTAATTACTGCGGTTTAATACGGATCCAAAGATATGAGTGTAAGACCGGATAACTGCTTCGTATTCTTGGACGAGACGTCTAACTGTCAAAGTGCCTCATTTTACGCCGGAGTAACAATTTAACCACTTAAGAGTCAGGATCAATGACGAAACACACGGATCTTCCCTCGATGGACTGGTAACGTGTCGAAGGGATGCCTCTCTGCTGAAACTGGGATAAGCTCAGGCAAAATCGACCTTCAGGCTCCTTTTCTGATTATACCCAAACCTCAAAACCCTCCAATTTACTTAAGTATGAAGTGTTCTAACCTCGACACATTTGACAGTTTTCCACAAGCCTTCTCAAGTACTTGATTTCAGCCACCTTAAATGAATGAATAGCCACTCATCAGAAAGCTGTTCTTAAGGAGGGCTTAACGTTAATTCGTTGGAGCATGTGCATGAGCATGACGTAACTAGCGGCCTTATTTGTTTCACAAAACAAACGAAAATCTATTGGTTTTACTTTCACGTGTCTAGCCTATTTCCTTACGGTGGACTGTTCATGACATTATTTGGAAAAGGCCTTCGATAATTTTCTGCTGACGTTGCATTTAAAATAAGATTTTCCTGTCAAGTACACTTAACATGGAAAACTAATTACTTTAACTTTAGCAAAAGCCTGAGACGCTAGAAAATTTCCTTTATTAGTGCCTACTGAGACAACAATTTACAAACTTCCGGAGAGCTTTCCTGGTTCAAAATCTAGCAAGCAGGTTCCAGGGCAGGAGGAAGTATAGTGGAATAACTTATCTTGTTTTTCCATCCAAAATAACGTGGAAAACTTTACTTTTTCCTGTTAATACCGCCTAGATTTATACATAAGAATATCACGTGAGCAATACGCAAACACTTTACCTGCATGGATAAGTCGTATCGAATATCCCGTATGAGGCCCATCAATTCAGTAGCCACTTCATGAGTAATTACGCTTATATCGTTAATCTCCGGTGGCTGAGGAGCTTTCACTAACGGGAAGACAACAGCAGAACACGATAGAGAATACATTTCTTTTCCAGGATTAGCTAAAAATTTACAAGTAGAAGTTCTCAGTTGGTTACCTCCCTCCTTAACAGCGCTTTCACAGTCTGGTCCACCAAGGACACTGTCCAAGGGGCGTTTGAAGATGAATGAAAGCGATTCTATGGCGCCCTGAGAGAAAAAGTGAAACACTCAAATAGAGAACTTTAGTATATGTGCTGTAGGGAAACGAGATGTTTAAGACGCAACATGCAAAATTTGTCTTCTCTCATGTCGTGGAACTCCAGGGAATACTAGTATTATGGGGTAAACGACTGACGGTAATGTTGCTATAACGGATTCCGACTTCTCTTGGAGATCAGCTAGTTCAGAGCGTCAGAATTCGCAAGGTACTAATAATTACCAGAAATAATTCCTCACCCCACGTTTTCAATCATTCCTCAGTCTCAACTAGAAACAAAGAATGAGCTGGTAAAATTCCCCGAGTGATATTCCCCAGACTGCATTAGGCGCGAATAAGCCATGATTTTTTACTTTTCGACATCTCGTCGAAGCTTAGAATTTTCCGATTGCTCGGTTTTCTTTTGCATACTTTAAGCAAATTTTGGATTATCGTTCACTAAATGTAAATTACCCTCCACTTCGAGTTGGATTTGGATCCAAATCCTCTTTGCGCGATGCGGAAATCCAACAATGAGAGCAATGTGCCTCTATAGGAGAAGATGTCCGAGATGGCCGATTTAGTGTCAACTCGGCCAGCAAACTGACAATCCACGAAAAGAGACAGCGCCGAAATTTTTTTTCCATTGTCTTTGACATCTGTGATGCGAATAACCACCGTGTGATAACCACGATCCACCAAAGACCCAACTTCTTTGAATACGACAGCCTCGGTCGTGTCATTGGTCGATCTGTACTTGAATATAAGTTTTGTTTTATCGCCAGATCCCTTGGAAGACAACTCCAGAAGAAACAGCTTTCTTTGACGGTGTACAATAGAGAAAAGAACACCCCCTGGGCTTGCAAAGATACGGAAGCGAGTTTTGATAATGAACTCCGTACTTGATTCAATATTAAATATAAGTTCGTTCAAAAGTTCCTCGTCAGCTCGGATAATTTTAATGGCACTTCCAAAGAGATACGCCTTTCTTCTCTCTGGCGTGAAGATTGTTCGTACGTTATAGTCCAAAGGGCTGATTGATTTTTCGAATACAGACGACAGTACCTTTATTTCTACGGATAAAAAGAAAAAATGTCAATGATTAATGAGGATAAAATACCATTAGTGAATAGAACAAGAAAAAATATAGATATAAATGCATATTTAAATAAACATGAGTATAAGCACTTACACGTTAGACTGTAGCTTACGAATTTTTAAAATTGTAGCAAAATTTTATTCAAAATATTTATTAAGTTTGATGTCAGTTTGTGAGTGACACAGGCCTACTCAGAGAAAAAGACCCGAGTGCATCCAATAGGAGTCGGATCTATGACATTCCGATTAGTACATTGGATACTCTACCTCTGAGCTATAGGAGACTAGTGGCAGGTCGTTTACCAAGGTCAATGGTTTCAAACTTCCTGCATACTGCGAGGCTAGAAATGACGATATGTAATGCTACTGGGCAATGGTCATGTTTAACTGAAAGACGTTCCTTACCCAAAGCAGTTGTAGATTTCCAACATGAGGCGACTAGGAGAATCAATAATAACATTTGCTCCTTCATTTTATTCTGCGAAAGAAGAAAAATAAAATCTGTAAGTTCTCCGTTATTTTTTGCAAGCTCGCAAAGCATTCGTTTGGACTTAAAGTTTCATTTCTTTAGGAAGGTAGTTTAGTTCAGAGCTGTACAAAAAAAAATTACTCACGAAAACCTTACGGACGCGATTTTAATCTTACCCCGCAACTTTGATCACACTTACATCAATTATAACTGGTCTTGAAACGAAATTGCTCTGGATTCTCTTTAAAAAATAAAAAAAACACAGTACTAATCATTTGTCTTCCGTCGTAGACGGATTTTGGCGCTTGAACGTCCAGATGTAATATCCAAGCTGCGCATTGAAAGCTGTTATGAGAGCTACTTTGTCTAAGTCACGTTTTTTTGACAAATTCTTTAAGTTCCTCATTTGCAATCATGATAATCCTTGTCAATCTTCGTCATCTTTAGTCATTCGTTCTCTCTTAAAGTTTTATTGTTTCCTATTTTTGACTTTAGGTTTTTTACGCATCTCATCTGGCTCTTATTTGATAGCTTTGCACGGTGCAAAAATTTATTCAAATGAACTGGCATGGAACCTATAACAAACTTTCGAGGCGATCGAAGATACCAGTCCGCCATTGTTCCTATCAACTTTCAGCTATTCCTAGTTTTACCAGAATACAACTCTAAACCATCAGTGTTAAAAGGCTGGATTAAGAAGTCGCAATTTTTTCTTTGTCTAACAAATAGCGCGTTTCAATAGACAAGCACAGAAAGCCCTGTGTTGATATAAGAGTGCGTCACGGTACCGACTCCACGCAGCCGCACGTTATTCAGTGACCTTCAGCGAGCAGCAGAAGACTACTTCAAAAACTCCCTTGTTACAACGTTCCACCAGTTATGCAAGACTTTGCTGTCAAATATGAGTCAGTTTCCACAATTCAAATGTGAAATACGTATGATGACTTCCTTCAAAGTGCTGATCCATTGCCAAACAATAGTACAAAAAAATAGTAGTCCGTCTGCATTTTCAAACCAGCTATACTTTTACGATAACCTTATTTGCACAATATTATATAACAAACCGTTTAAACTTTCTGTTCTGGTCGTTACTTCGTAAATTACTGCTCAAGCTCAAAATTACATAATTCCGTTACTTAATGCTCAGAGAGACAGTGAAGCAGTTTGTAGTTGAGTTTTACTGGATAACCTGGAACAGCAGCCACCTATCCTCGAACGTGAGTCAAATGTAACCAGCTACTTCTCGCTTATTTCGCTGTTTATGGTGTTATTCCCTACGTGCAAAGAAAATATCGAAAACAAACCTGTCATGAAAACTTCGCCTACTACAGCCTCGACCTGAATTCTTTTCCAGATTTGCTTTTGTTAGCCTCCCTCTCCTTTCGTTCCATGCGCGCAAACTTTGTCAACTCGAGTAAAATATTCATCATACCATTTCGCAAACAAAGAAAATATTCTGCATTCTTAGCAACAACTAGCTGGAATTTTTGCTTTTTAATTAATATCGCCTTTGTACACAAGGTAAATTGATTTGTTGTGGCTAAGACAAGAGCATAATTCGAAACCATTCCCTGGGGGGTACGGAATCTCCGACAAAGAAAAGCAAATACAGCATTTAGAAAAAACAAAAGATATACTTTGTTGAACACTAAACATCAGCTGTGTATTTTATAAGATTGAAATTATCCACGTATGGGTACATTGTAGGCATCCAGGCGTTCTGAAGTTATGCAAACATTTCAATGTGAGAAAATGCTTCACTAACCACTCTTCTGCAATTAATCTTTCAAAAATAAGGAAAAAAACCAACAGAAAAGGCAAACGAACACAGACGATAAGGAGTACTTGGGTCTCACAGTCACTCAGAGGAAACTTATTCACGTTCGGCTGATGAATAAGGATATGTTTGGTCTCCGTGCGAGGATATGTTTTTTCCATTTGGAAACTTATTAACCCTTTCCCATAATCTCTTTAGTAATTCTCCCAACTATCTACCAAAAACTGCTTATAGTTTTAGTTTGGAGAATTTGGTATTGAATCAAATGATAATCCACTAATTGACATTTTTCTATATTCTCATCACTTGTTCACTTGAGATCGTGTTGATATTTTAAGGAGAAATTCTGTCTTGGTCACTATTGGGAGTGAAAGGGTTAATATTTAATCGTCAGTGTGAGTGAGCCAAAGAAATCAAGTTTCGCTTTTCCTTTTAAGGCATTAATTAAGAGTTGGTTGAAAATTCCAAAGCATTTTAAGAAATTGTGTATCCTTGATCTAAGAATCGCAATACTTAAGCACGTTAAATTGTTTTTCCTTTTTGATCCTCTGTATTAATTTCTTAAATTCGACTAAAGGCAAATCTACGTACAACTATAATGAATGAAATAATCTAGTTTTGTACGGCCGCCAACAAAAATGCTGTCGCCAGAACTGTCTGACACTTGGCACACATTGCGTATTTAAAAAACATCCATCAAAGATAATTACAAGGACTTTTCAATGACTGAAAATACACCACCGCTTTGTCTCCTCTACCTAAACTTCCTCGGTCTCTTTCTCTCTGCCGGTATAACTACTTATGGGACTTTTGAAGTAAACCTTTTTGGGCAGCAGATAGTAAAAGACCTTTTCCGAGTGATATGATTATAGGAGTTTTGTCTCAAGGCCTTAGCCGAAGACGAACGTACCTCTTGCTAATACCTTTCTAACTACATCAACGATAAACTCAGACATAAGTTATTCATGTCAATTCAATCCATGTGAAAATGTATTACAGTGCATCCAATTTATTTGTACTAGAAGAGTGAAGAGGGCAGACAATAAACCAAAGTCAAGAAAATAGTGGCTGAAAACAACTGACTTTGGGAAGAAATTCAAACGAAACCACACAGCCATAACAAACACAGCAGGGTTGATCTTTAAATACTATTAAAGAAATTCAACTATGCTCTGATAAAAAGCGGGAAACCATGCAAAAGTTTGAAAACAGAAATGGCGGTAACTTTCGAAAGAAAAGAATTTGATAAACCCAAAGAGAAATTATTCATTTTGGAGAAAATGTCGAATTTATGTATCATTGAAAATTGCGAAAAATGCAAAAATTTGAGTTAAAAAAATTAAACTTAACCACGCAGTCTCGAAATGAAAAGAATTTACGTCATCCATTCACGAAATCAATCGAATTAAAAGAACAGAACTTCCGACGGAGTCTAATGTTTCTGGCGGCATCTTTGTCAAAGACCAAGTGAGACATTTTTAGTATAATTAGACCTGTCCATAGTCACGCCCAGTTTCCTACATTTTAACAAAGGATGCGTTCTTCCAAATGTATTTGAAAACATTGAACTTAAACAGAGCTCCCGGTGGTTAACCATTGGTTCTGAACTGAGGCTCAAAGCCATTAACTGAAACTCAGAGGAAATAGAGGCAATGAAAAGTGTTTCTCTGTAAAAATTTGTAAATTGAGCGCGTCTTACGAATCAGGCTAGGCACTCTTGAGAAAATGATAGAGAATTTCAGCTAAAAAAAAAGATCATTTTTCACCTGTCTTATCAAGACCAAGGCTTAACATGCTCAAAATTTTTCATATAGTGTTTTATCAATTTGGTGCCGCAATCAATGGTATCTTTAATCACAATTTTGATATTAAACAGAGAGTTTCTTCATATACTTATCAGGAGCTTTTAAATTATTCATGCAGTGTAATCAAGTCAACCTTGCTGTGGGACACAGTTAGGCGCGCTGGAGATGACGGTCTATCGGAGATGTGCGATGCCAATCCCCAGAAGTCTAAGAATTAGGTGAGAAAAAAGGTGCCTCGATCTTCCCTTTATCCTTTGTTCAAATGTATCTTTCCAGCAAGATACAAGAGATGTGTTTTACCGAGGATTTTGTTCTTCAAAGTTCTATTTCCACCAGAACGTATCATTCATCACAAAAGAAAAATATCTAAGAAAAGGTTTCGAAAATGTAAACAGACCTAACGAAACATGCCCCATGAAAATTTGCCGATGAAAAGTAATAAAACTTGACTTTAAGCTGAAAACACGCACAGAAGTATTAAATTCATTGATGATTTGGTAGAACTTTGTCTAGGTAACCATTCGAGCACAAATTGAATTCTTGAAGAGTAGAAAAAGCAACTCACATTTGGATAAAAGAGAATCGATTTCCACACTTTAACGAGACCACTAAATCAAGTTCTATGCTGTTCGCTGTGATCCAAATAATGAAGACTGATTTAACCTTACGGTAAAAAGCAAGGCCAACCAAGATTTCGTGGGTTTAAGTCGTTATCAGATGGACAAATCTTGAGGGAATATTTAGTCAGGGCGGTGAAAATGAGATTAACGATAATCTAGTCTATCCAAGACAACATTCCTGAAAATAAAATTGTTAGCGGTACATAATTTGGAAAACAGAAGGCATGACAACTGATGGTAGACACTACATCGCCTCCTATGTCTATTCCTAAACAATCCTTTTTGGTTTTTCTTGGCGCGCCAGGGAGCGTGTTGCAGAAATTTATGTGTTATGGGCAACTTTAGCCAAAATGCGTGGTAATGGCGCGAGTGGTTTTAAAATTCCAAGAGAATTATTTTCCAGGGACAATTTCAGTCCAGTTTGCTAACTGGCCGCCGCTGTCCATCAGAAACACAAGCCGCAGTGAAACAAGACGTTTCCGTTTGCTTTTATAAATTATCTAAACCGTGCTCAGATCTGAGAGTTCCATTACAACTTTTTCTAAAATCCCTTCTCAGTGACAAATCTTGCGGCCAAATCGCTTAACACGCTGACATACTCTTCCCAATGAATACCTGTTGGAACTTTGACTGCCCTGAGTTAAGCCAATTACAAGTGGCATAATTATATGAGGTATAACAAGTATAGCACTCCAAAAATTCACTTGCTCCTAATGTTTTGAAGGATTTATAGACTCATGAGAAACAGAGCAAGTTGTTTGATTGAGCATAACACTCATAATGCCAGACTTGACCTTAGCTGGCGAAA